TATAGTAATTCGCATTTGACAATGTTTAATAACATTTTTTTATATTTTTTTGAAGAGAATAAAAGACCTCAAACACACACTACGTTCGATTTAACAATATTACACAACGTGTAGACGTGAATGACATAATACGCGGAAGGCCAGGAAAATATAAAAAAAAGTGTTCCCTTTTATAATCTCGCGACGCGATGTAATTGAACCATAGAGATGGATATTGGAAAAAAATTGATCAAAGGAATCGCGTGATATTGCCTTGATACCGCCAACAAAGCGAGTGGACGCACTTTGCTTTCATTAGCAGCAAGTATGTTGCGACAAACAACAACGTTTTGGGATAAAAGATACGAGAGCTCGCGCGATTAAGTCTCGCGCGAGCAACGGGACTCGTTTCTTTACTCCGATTTATTCAACTAATTAGATTCGGCTTCGCGTTCGCTAATTACCGACGAAAATATAATTATCGCAAGAATTTCGAGTCTCCTTTTGTGCGAACGGTGCCCAAGGATTACGATTCTTTCGCGAATCGATTCGAAGCGATGAATAAAAAATCCGAAAGGATAAAATAACTTGGAGAGGATTTAAGCTAACACGATGAAATCTGAATTTCTCCAGAGAAGAGTGAATTAGAGAAAAAAATGTATCGAGGGGAAATTCCCCCGTAAAAGGGTTGCATTGTATGTTATCCTTTGTTACAAACCGGTTGCCGCGACGCGATTTTGTAATCGGCAGGAAGGACCCTTCCGGCCCTTACGAAGCTTTCTTGGTCGATCCTATCTTATCCGCGTGACTCGTAAAACGTGCGAAACTGTTGGGGGATCAGGAAGGGAATTACGATGCGTGTCGCACCATGATGTATGCATTACACAGGTGTGTAAATGGAAGCGGCAATAAAGTATCCTTAGACAAGCGCTTCTCGAGGGCAGGCAAATAATAGCGTCGTTCTTTAGACGTGCGACTACTTAATTGCATTGCCTACCGTAATAAAAAAGTTTTCTATAGCGCGCGCACAAAGAGGGTAAAAGAGACTTAATCGTCCCTTCGCGACGATAATGCGCATCACTTTAAGCAGCTCGTGACTTTAATTTTACAATTGAATCGATCTCTGACAAATCCATTTTGTCTTTTTGTCCAACACGTTGCACATCATACGATAGGATCGTGATTATTTTACGCGAACGCACAAAAGAAACGCAAACGTGTTGCAAACGAAGACATTGGCATTCAACCCTTTTACGTTTCACATGCAACAGGTCATCGCGTTTGACCAGAAGGAACAAGGGAGGGGTGATCATTTTCTTGTACCGGGCATATCCCTGTGTGCGTGCGTGTGAGATCAAAAAAGCAGGATGATGACGTCACACGTAAACTCGCTCCGGTCACTGGCGCGGTCGGACAAACGTGCTACGGTGCACAAACACACACGCGTGCATTCGGATAGGTCCCACAAAGGCTTGCACGGTCCCTCCGACTGATAATAATTACGGGATGGGCTGAAGCGGACTTCCGCTCAACATACGTACATATACTCGATCTGTGGCGAAGCGGTCGTGTCGCGAGTGCGAACAAAATCACCTACGGATATTTCAAGCTCGACACTTCCCGCGATTCTTTATCGTGCGGATTTTTACCGGAGAATTCGCGTCACGCGTGCTTACTCGTGACATCTCGATTGATTCGGAATCAAATTAACGTTTTTCTCACTTCAAATAAAACAGTAGAATCGTACGAGTTTTTCATGACATTTAATTAATCCGTGAGATATCTATTATTTTCTGCGAGTTTTTGCGCTATTATTTATTTGCGCCAAGAATTATAAATGTTTTATAGATGAATAACTGATCTCCTTAGTACGGATATTTTAAGCTCGATATTTCTCGCGATTCTTTATTGTGCGGATTTTTACCGGAGAATTGGAATCACGCGTGTCTTACTCATGATTTCCGATATTCCGATTGATTCGGAATCAAACTAACGTTTTTCTCATTTCAAATAAAACAGTAGAATCGTACGAGTTTTTCGTGACACTTAATTAATTCGTGAGATATCTATTATTTTCTGCGAGTTTTTGCGCTATTATTTATTTGCGCCAAGAATTATAAATGTTTTATAGATGAATAACTGATCTCCTTAGTACGGATATTTTAAGCTCGATATTTCTCGCGATTCTTTATTGTGCGGATTTTTACCGGAGAATTGGAATCACGCGTGTCTTACTCATGATTTCCGATATTCCGATTGATTCGGAATCAAACTAACGTTTTTCTCATTTCAAATAAAACAGTAGAATCGTACGAGTTTTTCGTGACACTTAATTAATTCGTGAGATATCTATTATTTTCTGCGAGTTTTTGCGCTATTATTTATTTGCGCCAAGAATTATAAATGTTTTATAGATGAATAACTGATCTCCTTAGTACGGATATTTTAAGCTCGATATTTCCCGCGATTCTTTATTGTGCGGATTTTTACCAGAGAATTGGAATCACGCGTGTCTTACTCATGATTTCCGATATTCCGATTGATTCGGAATCAAACTAACGTTTTTCTCATTTCAAATAAAACAGTAGAATCGTACGAGTTTTTCATGACACTTAATTAATCCGTGAGATATCTATTATTTTCTGCGAGTTTTTGCGCTATTATTTATTTGCGCCAAGAATTATAAATGTTTTATAGATGAATAACTGATCTCCTTAGTACGGATATTTTAAGCTCGATATTTCCCGCGATTCTTTGTCGTGCGGATTTTTACCGGAGAATTGGCATCACGCGTGTCTTACTCATGATTTCCGATATTCCGATTGATTCGGAATCAAACTAACGTTTTTCTCATTTCAAATAAAACAATAGAATCGTACGAGTTTTTCATGACACTTAATTAATCCGTGAGATATCTATTATTTTCTGCGAGTTTTTGCGCTATTATTTATTTGCGCCAATAATTATAAATGTTTTATAGATGAATAACTGATCTCCTTAGTACGGATATTTTAAGCTCGATACTTCTCGCGATTCTTTGTCGTGCGGATTTTTACCGGAGAATTGGCATCACGCGTGTCTTACTCATGATATCTCGATTGATTCGGAATCAAATTAACGTTTTTCTCACTTCAAATAAAACAGTAGAATAGTACGAGTTTTTCATGACTTAATTAATCCGTGAGATATCTATTATTTTCTGCGAGTTTTTGCGCTATTATTTATTTGCGCCAATAATTATAAATGTTTTATAGATGAATAACTGATCTCCTTAGTACGGATATTTTAAGCTCGATATTTCGCGATTCTTTGTCGTGCGGATTTTTACCGGAGAATTGGCATCACGCGTGTCTTACTCATGATATCTCGATTGATTCGGAATCAAATTAACGTTTTTCTCACTTCAAATAAAACAGTAGAATAGTACGAGTTTTTCATGACTTAATTAATCCGTGAGATATCTATTATTTTCTGCGAGTTTTTGCTTTATTTATTTTTTTTTTATAATATTCTTAGTACGATATTTAATATTGCGATTCTTGTCGGGATTTTACGGAGAATTGGCATCAGCGTGTCTTATATGATATTCGATTGATTCGGAATCAAAACGTTTTTCTTTCAAATAACATAGATTACGAGTTTTTCATGACACTTAATTAATCCGTGAGATATCTATTATTTTCTGCGAGTTTTTGCGCTATTATTTATTTGCGCCAATAATTATAAATGTTTTATAGATGAATAACTGATCTCCTTAGTACGGATATTTTAAGCTCGATACTTCTCGCGATTCTTTGTCGTGCGGATTTTTACCGGAGAATTGGCATCACGCGTGTCTTACTCATGATATCTCGATTGATTCGGAATCAAATTAACGTTTTTCTCACTTCAAATAAAACAGTAGAATAGTACGAGTTTTTCATGACTTAATTAATCCGTGAGATATCTATTATTTTCTGCGAGTTTTTGCGCTATTATTTATTTGTGCCAATAATTATAAGTGTTTTAGATGAACTTGATCTCTTTAATATTGAAAATCTGAAGCGACTACTGGAGGTACTACTAATAAAAAAATGTTATTGACGGGATTAATTATTAATTAATTAGTATTAATACACTATTATAATTATTTATAATTTATTACATGGGATTTCAAATGACGATAGATATATAGTTACTAAACAAATAGAATTTACGAGGTTCGAAATAGATGGTTCATTACATAAATATTCGCAACTCGGATCATCGCAATTACTCCAACATCTCTGACGAGATCCGCTCGCTTCGATATATTAATGCACGGATAATAATGATAATAGTAGGAAATAAGCATGAAAAAGTATACTATATCGAATTTCGGATAATTTCACGTGGTTTCGAACGATTAGTTACTGTCTGCCCGATCGGAGAATGCTTAACAACGAAATAAAGGCAAGCGGAAATATGGTCTGGTTACTTTCAGCATAAACAGTCATATACATGAAAGAATTCCCTCTCATTTCGATTTATAAAATGCGCATAGTTACAAAATACTTAATCCTCTTCTATCTTATGGTTGAAAGAAAGGAGAATCAGAGGACTGAGATGAAAATTTCGCAAAATTCAATAGGAATTTATTCTCCAAGGGTCACAAATTCCTAACTAATGCTAACTCTTCAAATTAAAAATTAATATTAAAAAATTCACTCTCTGATTTTTCAAATTTAATTTTTTTAGTTGTCTTTTCACTATCGATTTTCCTTTTGGTTAAATAATTTCCCAAGTGATTCACAATTATAAAACAGAAAGTGCACATTATGTTGTCTTAGGATTGTCTCCAAAGCATTCTGTTTCTATAAATTGTATATTTCAGATTGTTGAATAATGAAATAATAATGATAATAATGACAACGCATTGAATGATATAAAATATAAAGAAACATATTAGGACAGATGCATACTTCCGAGTTTTCGTTTGGCGGAAACATACACGGAGGATGAATATGCGATAACAAAGCCGACGAGGCATAAAATAAACTCACCTTTCGAAGTTTCTCCAATTCGTTCGCATCTGCAGCTGACTGTGCCGCCTGTCAAGAATAGAAAGTAACAAATTATTTGACAGCCGTCGTATGTATCGCATCGCAAACGAGCATTTTCAACGAGAGTGCGAGCATCCCTTTTTCTCGACTGATTTATCCGTTGCATCTTTCGACATTTAATAGATCCGACACAATGGCGTATACGCCGAAGGTATATCTACGAGAAACACCGTTTATTGTATTTAAATCGACTTACAAAACACGTGCGCACGTTCTAACGCTCGAAGGATTTCATTGCGCTTTGCTACCAATTTCGTAATTAGTCGTAAAACAGAAAGGCACGCACTGTAACCAAGTACACCGCTGTTGCTATCATTATTTTTACAATCTTATATCTTGTATCGTCGTAATTCAAGCGCGATATTAAACTTTGCCTAAGCGATTCCGGATCAAATAAGAATAATCTCTTATGCATGAGAGATTTAATTCCTAGACGAATGTACAGAGAGATGCAGCTTCCTTTTATAGATTCTTGATCGGGAATAAATTGGATTAAGACTTGCAGAAAATTTGATAAGAAATCTTCAAGCGGAAAGACAGTTACGATAATTCATATATAATCTATACATTATTTTTTACAAAATTATAATTTTACACTCTCGAATGAATCTCTTGATATCAATATCAAATTTCTGATACATGTAAGGTTATTGCAATATCTCTGAGGTGCATGATATGCATGATATTTCGCGTACAAGGTTACCGTTACGATGATTAAAAGAGGAGCACGTTGTGCGAAAGAAAACACTGCAAAACAGTGCAACAGACATTCACCTCATTTTTCGGCTTCGGCTGCTCCCAGAGAGCGGCAGCGTCGTCGTTGACGTTTACCGGCTTGTCGTCCGCGAAATTCACGAGCGAGAGGAAATTGTTCCGGGCGTTGTTGTTGCGATCCTCCCGCTCGTCCACGACGGCGTTATCGAGCAGCTCGTAATCCAAGGACTTGCAGTCGCGGCCACTGCTGATGAAATTGCGCGCGAATGCGCTTTTAAAGAAACGACCGGGTGACACCTCGCTGCCGAGGGCGAATTCCACCTTCGGAGTCTCGGTCGTCATCGCGACGAGCTGATGATGATTATGATGAATATCTAGGTACGATCGAACGCACAGAGAAGCACTAACAAATGCGCGTATCGCGAAACGCCGCCTCTACATGTGAACAATCGCGTCACGAATCATCGCCGCACAGATTCCCGTCTCGAGGAGATGAAACAAAACACAACACGACAAATTTTCTCTCCAGTTCAGACGGTTGTTTGAATCGCCCGATTCGACCAACTGGGCGAACAGCGGGAAAAAACCCCAGACGAGACGCGCGATACACCGGTGCGTGTCAAACTGAGCGCCAAAGTCCGCGCGCAGTCCTTTTCTAGTTTCTCCTGCTTCTCCGGCGCGCATGCGGCCCAATCGCGTGACGGCCCGAGAGAATCCGCAACTATTAGATATTATTCCAAAGAAAACAGAAAAGCTGTTTTCACTCTTGTTAGCATGAGAAAATTTATTTGGATTTGAAAAAATAAGATTTGGAGACTTCTTTTGAACAACGAAAAAGACAGTTCTTCTCCGAGTATGTTGCTCTCTATAAAAAGAACTTTTTATTTCTTTAGAATTATCATTTTCTTTCGTTTCTCGTATAATTCTGTCTATTATGCCAAGCAAACTTATTTTTCGAAGGTCACTATACACGAATATTTTATATTTCCCAACGATAGGTTTAGGAAAAATCAGCTGTCGGAAGTTAACAGCTGGCTAACACCTGAGGGTCTATTACGGTTCTTGAAGCGAGGTGAAAATTACAAAAGTGAATAGATTTACTAAATTTCGACAAATGAAATTGATACTCTAGTAAATTTCCTCACTTTTATTATTTTCACCTCGCTTCAAGAACCGTAATAGACCCTCTGGATCCCAAAAAAAAATGGGATTTATTGACGAATTTTCCTTTGAAAAGAACATTCTTTTAAAATTTATAAATCATCATGTAAATTTTAGTGTCTTTTTAGAAAAAAAAGAAACAATTCAATAATTCGAAAAATTTACATCTCTCATAATGTGTGTGAACGAGATATCTCTCGAAACTTGTTTTACATCAATTCGATATTTTTAATAAATATTATATTATTAACACTATATTATTATGAAATTATCTTTAACTCTGTTTATGATGAATTGGGTAATTAAGGCAAATATAGAAATTTTTAAGATTATAGATTTAAGAAAGATTAACTATGGGATAGATTCGAATGGAAAAAGCAAAATTCGAATGCAAGAGTGGAATGTATGTGAAAACGAAATAGTTTATATAATAATAATTAACAAATTTTTACAACTGCTTATAACTAGAATGAAAACGAATGAGTAAACTGGTTATATCACTGCTTTTCCGACGTGTCGGATGAACTTGGATCCCCAGACTGCTTGGTACTCGACGTGTCCTTCGTCGTGCGAACGGGCGATTGGAAATTCAAAGAAACCCTCTTGGATTTTCTGAGTATAAGAGGAGATAGTTCGGGTGGTTCACCATAATATTGAAGTTTCTCGAGTCGTCTCTGGATCGAAGGATTAGCTGCGATAAAACTCGGGCTGCTGCCGACTCCTAATTTCGGTGCTGCCAACGGTGACGTGTAGTCGATCAATCTTTTATCCACGCTTGATATGATCGAATTGTACATTTTAATCGGAGTGCTTTTACCCGCCACATAATGCGTCGGTGTTGACTTTTTTTGCAATTCCACATTAAGAGCCAAAGTGCATCTTTCAGTGTATTTAATCGGATCCTTAAAAATCAAGTTTAATATAAGCGTATCTTAATTTGGAAAAAATAATTATAATTGAATAAATCTATAAAAGAATCTTTTAATAATTTTTTTTAAAAAGCATTAACTGCTTTAATAGCTATAAGAGTGCATTTAAAAATTGAGAGAAAGAAGATGTACGAGAAAGAAATAATATAAATTATAAAAGACCTGAAGAAAAGAAAAGAGAACGTACCGTGATCAGGTTTTGCAAATTTTCAAAAGATTCGTACAAATGATTTCGGCGAGGATTACATGTAAAAATAGTTTTGTCCGTACAATATGCCGCTGGGACATTCCATGAAGTTGCCCTTCGCCATTCTAAATTACTGCACGCTACGATAGATCCAACAGTAAGAATATCTGTATAACCATAACTGGCTATACCTTGCCAAAATAATATCGAGAGATACAAGGAGTCATTTGAGTCCGTTTTCGGGTATGCTAAATGTACGACCTCGAAATCTTTCATGCCCTACAAAAGACATACGTATAAAATGTATAAAATGTTACATTTAGAATCGTAGATATAAAACAATTCAATGGAGTCATTCAGACATATAATTCCTACAAAATTACTTTATTGCTTAACAACTTAATTCTTCAAAAATAAATCGTGCATTATCTTTTTTTGTAACTTTTCAAATATTTTTTACAATTTTTTCAACAGTATTTATATTTAAATTATGTAAGAAAATTGAGAAAAATATGATAGAAATGCTTACATAAGGGGCAGGGCCGACGCAACAGACAAAACCGACCGTGTCAAATTCTCCGTAAGGTGGAGCAAATTCAAAATTGGCCAATTCGCTAAAAGATGTGTGCACTCTAGCAGGATATGACGTATCATGCACCTTTACCGGTTTAAAAATTGAGGACCGGCGCCCGGTGAGTTGCAATTCGGTTCCTCTGTTGAACAATATTATACGTATTTAATATAATCATAGAAATCCAGTATATTTACGTATGTACCGCCCGCGATACAGTTATCCTCTTTTGTGAGAAAATAGTACCTCTTTCCAGAAGCAATAACGTTATAAAGTGAGACATGCGCGCCTTCTTTGAGGGCACTGACAACTTCCTCGCTAGGCGACCAAACCGACAGAATTGCGTTTACATTCTCGTCGCATACGCGAACTTTAAGCAGTTGAGAAACTTGCCGTGGCCCCGGCAAATTATCGCGCAATTTTGATTGTATGTCTTGCATGAACCTCTCTTTTTTCTGGTGTAGCTCTTGCAATAATTCTTCGCTGCGTCGTTTCTTCGAGGCGGATTCCTTATAATAATTAATATACGGAAGAAAATTTATATAAGCTAAAAATAATTTAAATAAGTGAATCGAATTGTACCTGCGACGAGCTTCCGTAATCTTCGTCCAACTCAGTTTCATCAGTAAGTCCCTCTTGAAAATCTTTCTCCGCGTTAGCGTAAAATGTCTCTATCTTGGACAAACATTGCTGTTCGTATGTACTTTGCGCTTTCTCCTCGCATTTAGCGTTTCGAACAACTGTCGCGAAAAATAAACAGAATTAGTATAGAAGAAAAATTGCCTCGCTAACTTGTTTGCAATTAATTGTAAAAAAAGAAAATATGTCTTACTCGAATCTCCGGACGCGGTTTTCTCGTGATATAACGTCGGATACACTCTAGCGACAATAATTGTCATTTTACCGATTAAACCGCCGCTCGGACATACGTTACATAATTTGATGGGTATCGGTCCCGAACGTGGCGCGTATCCTAATTTCGCGTACCATCGTGCGCGCCTGGTTGAATTTGTGTGTAATTTTAAGCATACGGTAGCTGGTGCCTGCGGTAAGAAATTAAAAAATTAAAAAAAAATTTAATCGCTTATATTTAAACGTTCGATTCCGATAAAAAAAAACTCGACGCCTACCTCTAATGGATAGAAACCTTGATCGCAATTTAGTAATTCTGCGCCTGACACCACTAATTTCGTGCCCTCTTTTATTTTGCCAGTCGATATGCTCTTCACCAATCCTATATCGATACAAATAGGTATGCTGTACCAGCCATCTGTTAATTCTATTCTCCATTTTGGCACTCCTATGCGCGGACTCTTCCCTACCTCCGTACTTACATTATTATTCTGGAAATTAAAATACGTATAATATATGCCGATACATTGAATATTTCCTATGATTAATATATATTACTTCTACTATAGATGACACGCATAAAATCATTCTCTTAGACGCGACATCGTCCTTCTCCAAGATACGTCTTATGGCTGATCGCTGAAATTGATCAATCTCTCGATCGTACCGGTACTTTAATTGTGCCATTACGCGCGAAGGTGTTAATGCCCTAAAGTGTAGAAAAAGTGATCAATAATCGTTAATTTCTTTTAATATGTAAATAGATCTCGTTCAACGCTCTATTCAATCCCTTTAATTTCTAGATATTAGGAACAATTTTTGCTCCCATTTCATAAAAGATTATACCTAGGTAACTCGGCTGAGCCGAATTTCATCCTGTCCATCGACGCCAATTTCCATACGATCCACCGATAATGATTCTCGACCCAACGCGCGGGAACCAGATTCGGATCTACGCCCGGACTTGCGAGGAAAGCGCGGAGGAACTCCCAGATTCCCACGTAACCGTTCTCATCCAAAATCAAACGCGCGTCGTCCTCCATCGGTATCCCGCGAACGTTAGTCCGCGCCACTTCGGCCCCGTAGAAATCAGAGCATCGGAATGTGTAGGACGTGGCTGTCGCGGCGGTAATCGCCAAGATATTCGGCGATATCTGTCGATTGATGAGTTCCTGATACGAGAATGGCACGGGCGGTGCGCCGTTACCGATTTCTCTCAACGACAAACGAGCATTAGAATTGACTTGTTTGTAACGATACAGGTGGCCGATGGATTGTTTCGATCCGTGTCTCCTTTTCGCGGTGATTATCTTCTCTTGATCCAGCGCGGCCGTCAAGCGATCCTGCAGTATCCTCGCTGATTCGTCGACGAAATGCATCATCAACTGAGTATCGCCGTATTCGTTCCATTCCGTATTGCTTTCTGCCTTTTGTTTCTCCATCTGCGTCGATTTCTGCACCTCTATATCTGATTCGTTCACATTGATATTGTTGCAAAATGTGACATTCTCTCGTGATGCTACATTCTTTACATCATCTAGAGTTATTTTACTCGCTCGTAATGCACTATACTTGTCCCTTCGATGTCCTAAATCCTTCCGCTTTCTCGAGTGTGTTCCTAGAACAGGACTACCGGCATCCATTTCAGATTCTACAGCATCTCTTTCGGGCGATCTTAGGACAGAATTTATAGTTGAATTTGCTTGTTTTTTCTCATCTAGATTTCGATTCTCATCATTATCGATGCTTAGATTGTCAGAAAATAATTTCCTGGCTTGATATTCATTACTGAGACGAGCTTTTTTTGAATCAAATGAGCTGTTTCTGCTCAAGGGTGTATTCTCATCTGAATCGCTGTTGCGCTTTTGCAGTGATGTAAATTTCAAATCAGAGCTATTATTATCCGGATGGTTGTTAGAGAAGAATGTTTGTGATTTAAATAGAGCATTATTCGAAACTGTTATTTCTTGATCACTTTCAAGATAAAATTCACCACATGGAATTTTTAAATCGCATCTTTTAATCTTTTCATTAGGAGCAATATGGGAACTAATACTTGAATTATGTATGTTATACTGTTTAATCTGTTCAACAGTAGTATCCAGTTGTTCTGCAAACAATATTTTTGCTTTGGCCAGTGATTTTTCTGAAATATTGATAGATTTACCTCCAGCTGTAGAAAATAATGGCAAAGTCATATTGTTTGGTTTCATAAAATTTTCATCTGTGGTTGATCTCTTAGAATATTTTTCCAATATGTCGTTCTCATTTCTTGATTCTCCCGCTAATAATATTTTTGCTTTAGCCGGCGATTTTTCTGAAATATTGATAGATTTATTATCAGTGGTAGAAAATAATGGTAAAGTCATGTAATTTTTCACAGGATTTCCATCTGTGAATGATTTCTCAGAGTATTTTATTAATGTATCATTTTCTTTTTCTGATGTATCCGCTAATAATATTTTTGCTTTGGTCAGTGATGTTTTTGAAATATTGATAGGTTTACCACCAGCTGTGGAAAATAATGATGAAGTCATGTTATTTGGTTTTATAGAATTTCCATCTGTGAATGATCTTTCAAAATTTTTTATTATATCATTTTCTTTTTCTGATTCCGTTAATAGTATTTTTGCTTTGGCCAGTGATTTTTCTGAAATATTAATAGGTTTACCATCAGCTGTGGAAAATAATGATGATGTTATATTATTTGGTTTTATAGAATTTTCATCTGTCAATGATTTTTCAGAATTTTTTATTACATTATTTTCTTTTTCTAATTCATCCGCTAATAGTATTTTTGCTTTGGCCAGTGATTTTTCTGAAATATTGATAGCTTTACCAGCAGCTGTGGAAAATAAAGTCATGTTATTTGGTTTTGTAGAATCTCCATCTATAAATGATTTGTCAGAGTATTTTATTAATATGTCATTTTCTTTTTCTGATGTATCCGCTAATAATATTTTTGCTTTGGTCAGTGATGTTTTTGAAATATTGATAGGTTTACCACCAGCTGTGGAAAATAATGATGAAGTCACGTTATTTGATTTTGTAGAATTTCCACCTGTGAATGATTTTTCATAATTTTTTATTATATCATTTTCTTTTTCTGATTCATCTTCTAATAACATTTTTGCTTTGGCCAGCGATTTTTCTGAGATACTGATAGTATTGCCACTAGCTGTGGAAAATAATGATAAAGTTACATTCTTTGTAGAATCTCTATCTGTAGATGATGTTTTAGAACATTTTATTAATTTATCATTATTCTTTTCTAATTCATCTGCTAATAATATATTTGCTTTAGTCAATGCTTCTTTTGAAATGTTAATGGGTGCACCGCTAGCAGTTGAGAATAAAATAGGAACCATATTGACTTCTTTGTTGGAACTTTTATTTATAAACGTTTTTTCACAATCTGTAATATGCATTTTATCACAATTTTTCAATTGTTCTGTAAATTGTAGCTCTGATTTAGACAGTATTTCTTTTGTAATATCTATAGAAGTAGTATTAAATGAAAAAGATGATAAATACTTATTTTTCTGCTCATTGGAATTTCTTTTAGCGAATGATTCATAATTCTGTGCATGGTTTTCATCTATATCAAAAGCATCTGCAAACAATCTCTTTGCTTTGAGTACTGCCTGCTTTGAGACATTAATTGAAGCACCACGAGCAGTAAAGAAACCTATAGTTTTATTCTCTTCTATATTTCTTTCCTTATCAATATCTTCGATCCTTTCATTACAATGCATCATAGACTGGGCTGTTTGATTATCAAAAGTATTAAAGCATACTTGATCTATATTACTAAATGAGGCATTTTTAAAAAATTCTTGTGTCGATGTATCCAAGCTGTCAGATGCAGTATTTGCATGATTGTCTAAGTCTTCATTATTACATGAGTTTTCAATTTCACTGAAAACTTTTAATTGACAATCTTCAAGAATATTAGAAATAGGTTCCGCAACATTTGTAACACTATTTTGTACTGTAGAATTAATATTTTCAGAAGTAGAAGGTGCGTCTAACGATACGTTTATAGTAACATTTTCGTTGTTTTTTACGATTACCGGATCTATAGATATAGAAGTTTCAAATATACGACGTTTGGAGCGTTTAGAGCGTCTTCGTGAGGCTCTAGATTCTTCTGCAATAACAGGAGAATCAGATATAATTTTGTCTATGCTTTTAACAGTTGAAATATCAGGTGTATGCTGTTCAAGTTTAGGTGTTTCTTCTGTCTGAAATATTAATGATGGACAAAACATTGTAATTTAAATAATAAAGTTCAATGTAGAAATGTAATATATCTTATTTTAAAAAATGTATTACTTTTTTTGTTGCGCTTGTTAATAGTTTTATATATGGTTGAGCTTGTGGTGTCTCAAAATCACTAGTCCACTGTTCATTTATCTTGCTTAGAAGGGGTAACAGACTTAATGGAGCATGTGGAATATCATCACTTGATGTCCTGTTGTCAACAATATAAAATGATCAATCAACAATTGAAATATATTGTTTATTGAAACCAGAGCAAATTTTTGATTAATAATGTAAATAAAATTTTGTTGTTTGCAACAAAATATTACTCAACATTTATATTATCATTATTTTAAGATGTAGATGTTAAGAGATCTCTGTTACATATTTCATAATGAAACTCTAAAATAACAAAATAAAAATGTGTCTTACATTTTGCTGGAACTAGGTGTTTCAAGTCGATTTAAAATCAGGCCATCACGTTTGATCTCTTTTTTTTGTTCATCATCTAAAAATATGCGTATGAAAAAAAATATCGTAACAACTGTGCTACACACACAAATAATTCGTACAAATATTATCGTTACCTGAGAATAATTCATCGGATTCGTCTTCAGTGTTGTCAATTATCGATATATCCATGATTGTGTTATAATCGTCACCTCTCTAAACTTTATATTATTGGCACTTATTTATTGATTTGCTTCAAATTTCCATCTGCTCGTATCTCGTAAAAACAGAGATTGTAATTTTTGCGCACCGCTGCATTATTCCAATGACGTCATTTCAAATACATGTGAAAAACACGGTAAAATAAGACATAAATCTATATTAAATACGGTTATAACCTCTTTAACTGGCAATAACAATCAACAAATCGCGCGAAATGCAACTTCACGTATCATGTCACGTGTCACGTGAGAAACACTTGTCAGCGCCTTGATTTTCGTTTGAATTTCCCTCATTCAACACGTAAATCCCATATGACTCTACGTTGCACAAAGAAAATACGCAGTTAGGTAACTTTAACGTTAAGGTGCAATTTCATTGACGCTAGAAATCAGCGGCAAATTAAAATCACTAGACTTTCTCTAGATATGGCGTCAATAAAATAAAGTTCAAACAGTTTCAACTTTTTCAGTGTGTAAAGCGGTCTTTTCATTGACGCTACTTTTTAGCGTCAATGAAATTGCACTTTAACAGTTGGCAGCCCTACGAGATAGGCTGTGCAGCACTGCGCGTATATAAAATAAATTTGAAATCGCTTCTAGCCTAACCATAGCCCTCTTCATGCGATCGACTTTATTTGAATTGCACGGCATCGCATCGAATTATGATGCGGCGCCGATTTGTTCGAACGTAATTCGGGACATCGCGATGCTGTATAAGCGTCGAATGAGCACGAATTGTCACGCAAATATGATAAATCACATCTACTCACCGTTCACCGGCTGTTCCACAGGCCGCTCCACTCGCTCGCCTCGGGACGTCCCATTCCGATCTTGATGCACATGATATCATCAACGCGAACGCGCGACACTTTATTTGGCACTCCCGATATTCGCTCGCATCCGATAATCATCATCAAGGGCGCAAATAACGCGACGCAACTTCGCTCCATCTTCGCGATCGCGCTATCACTGAACTGTGAATAATAGCTGTCGCGCACTTTCACCGACATATTATGAAAGTCGCGCGATCATCCTTGGACACTTTCGACGCTCTTTCACTCGCGATATTCGTTTAAAAACGGTTAAAAGACGCGAAAAATGCGGACGTACGACGATCCGTGTAACTGCGTATGACTCCGATTCACGTATGACGCGTATGACGTAGCAGTGACGCGTATGACGTAGCAGTGACGCGCTAACATGGCGGCCGAACCAGTGCGCAGAAACGAACGCGCGCACTGGTTCGGCCGCCATGTTAGCGCGTCATACGTGAATCGGAGTCATACGCAGTTACACGGATCGTCGTACGTCCGCATTTTTCGCGTCTTTTAACCGTTTTTAAACGAATATCGCGAGTGAAAGAGTGTCGAAAGTGTCCAAGGATGATCGCGCGACTTTCATAATATGTCGGTGAAAGTGCGCGACAGCTATTTTTTACAGTTCAGTGATAGCGCGATCGCGAAGATGGAGCGAAGTCGCGTCGCGTTATTTGCGCCCTTGATGATGATTATCGGATGCGAGCGAATATCGGGAGTGCCGAATAAAGTGTCGCGCATTCGCGTTGATGATATCGTGTGCATCAAGATCGGAATGGGACGTCCCGAGGCGAGCGAGTGGAGCGGCCTGTGGAACAGCCGGTGAACGGTGAGTAGATGTGATTTATCATATTTGCGTGACAATTCGTGCTCATTCGACGCTTATACAGCATCGCGATGTCCCGAATTACGTTCGAACAAATCGGCGCCGCATCATAATTCAATGCGATGCCGTGCAATTCAAATAAAGTCGATCGCATAAAGATGGTTAGGCTAGAAGCGATTTCAAATTTATTTTATATACGCGCAGTGCTGCACAGCCTATCTCGTAGGGCTGCCAACTGTTAAGGTGCAATTTCATTGACGCTAAAAAGTAGCGTCAATGAAAAGGCCGCTTTAGATATGACGACGGCGGGAGCAACGAGCGTCATGGATGACGATTGGTCAATGAATGCCATCTGACGACATGCTAGTTAGGTAGGTCAATGAGAGGTTAGAACCAGAATGACTACGTTCTTTGACTTACATACTCGGAGGTGAATGAAAAGCATATGGCGATGGCAGTATGTATGAAGTATCAAGTATTATTATGACATTGCGTCCTGTTAGAATGGAAAAAAGGATGTGCAAGGTGAATGTACGTCGTCAGTTTTACATTAGAGGAAAATTTTGATATATTAACTGTTCAAATACTTGTTATTATTCGGATTTACTTTGAATTCAAACTGTCGGCTATAGTTCATAGACGACCATAAGCGTGAAGTTTCACTTGTCAAAAATCAAGCGGTTATCATTTTTAATCGTGTAAGAAAATTGACAAAAATATTCAGTGACATTTTATTGTTTTATAATTGACACAAAACAGGATATATTAAGCATAATTTATTTCTGTATTATAGCTTTTGAAGGTTATGTGATCATGTCATATCTGAATGGACAGATTATTTTCTATGGCGTATGTTTGATATAAAATAAGTTCAAAAAATTAAAGATTATTATCTACTAAAATAATAGATACAATATTTGGTATAATATTTTGAAAAATATTTTTATTATCCATATATATCTTTTGCAAAACAGAAATGAATCATTTTAATTCGATTAAGTAGAGACCTATAAATATTGCATTAAATATAAATTTGTAATATATTGAAAAATATTGTGAAGAGAATATAATGTTTTAATAGGTGTAAAAATGGAACAGTTACAAGCAGCACTGACAGCTATCAAAGTACTTCGTTCAAATGTTGGACAAGTGTTTGATTCCCTTGGAAATGGTTTGCGAGCGGAACACGGAGATGAAAATAAAGAATCCAAATATTTATTAGAGTTACAGGAACTATTGACTACTGTGAATCTTAACTTGAGGTAATTAAATAAACTAAAGGAAAAAAATAATCATTAGAAATCAGACATAATGAGACACATCTCTAATGAGATAATAGTTTTATTGGATTATACTATTATGAAGCAATTAAATCACGCGATTAATGTTTGCCATTTAAAACACAGGGATGTAGAACAGGTGATAAGTAGTTTAAATCCACCACCAGGTCCATTTAATTTAGCTAGCACAACATATCTTAGTCAGGAAACAACGCAAGAACGACAAGCGCTTTATAGTACACTTGTCAATTGTTATAAGTGGACAGATAAGGTTCACGAATATAGTAATGTTGCTTATACATTGCTCAATCAAAATTCACTAAAGAGATCTTATATGGTTGCAAGTAGGACAAAGAAGGCAAGACCGTTCTACACCAGTAGTCATAATGTATCTCAAGCGTAAGCTGCTCTTAATTTCAATAATGCGTCAATGAACTTGGTACTTTAATTTTGGAGGTTGAATTGATTTTAATCTGTTTCTAGGCAAGTCGATTCTATGTTATCAACAGTTGAACGACAATTTAGTGACATGACAGTGTCTGTATCCCGTCCATTCGCATCGAATGCAGTGTTACATGTTACACTGGGACATGTTCTAAAGGCGTTGATAGCGTTTAAGGGATTGATGATAGAGCGGGTTGTAATCAAAGGTTATGGTGAAACGATGGATTTGTGGACGGAATCTAGGCATAAAGTCTTCCGCAAAGTAACGGAAAATGCGCATGCGGCGATGTTGCACTTTCATTCGCTCGCATTACCTGAATTAGCAGTGCGATCATTTATGGTAATGATTATGTATTTATGTCATGAATATTACATTACTGAATCTAATTGCTATTTTAACCGCCTGTGATTACGCTAATCGCTCGTCATACGCGATTGTTATCACATTTTCTCTCATTTCCAGACATGGTTACATGGTTTAAACAATTTATTTAGCGAACCTTGCAAACGCTGTGGCTTGCATTTGCACAGTGCACTGCCTCCAACTTGGAGAGACTTTCGAACTTTGGAGCCTTATCATCAGGAATGCAAGCCGTAAAATACAAGCCCAGTGTCTTTTCAGTGCATTTTAGTCAAATAAATATGGATCTTTACAAGTACTTTATTAATATACAATAATGAGGTATAATAATATTTAATGGCTATGTTTTTTGTCCGAAAACATTCATCGGATTATTATATGATATGAATTTCTAATAAATGATAATAAAACACATATCTATTTCAATACATATTTTTGCTGATTGATCTTGCGATAATAAAATAATGCGCGCGCTTTTTCGTGTTCTTCGTTGTTGGGATAGTGATAAGGTGAAAGTAAAATGTTTTCACAGAGAGAATGTAAGGGCTTTTATAAAAAGAATTCAATTACATAACACTTAACAAATGCAAATCGCACAGAACATATCACATTTCGCGAGAGAAAAATTGCAAAGCATTAGATAACATTAATCCGAAACAACATACGTCATATTACGCGGGCACTGTCGATCGCGCCGACAATGGAAAGCTGATTAAATATACGATTAATTCTTTTGTCAGATTTATTAAGTTACGATATTTGGAATCTCGATTTTGAACTTATAATTACAGATAAAAATATAGATGCCCTTTTTCATATGTGGAAGTGAAGGGAAAAAGTATATCAATCGAATGATTATTCGTTCAGCAAAGAAAAGTTTTATGTATGTTAATGCTAACCTTTGATATCGTATAAATGAACGGGCGCATAAACATTTTCCTTGAAAGAAATTTATGATCAGTATGTATGCATGTATGTATGTATTTTTTTTCTTTCTCGTTACCTATGTTCTACGTATGTATACCACTCTTAGTATCGTTACATGCTATATTTAGTTTTACATAATGCTAATTAATATATGTAAATATAATTACGTTATAATATACTTTTCACATAACTGTACACATTCACATCTTGGAATATTGGCGCTCTCCTAAGGGGCGCAAGTCGTTTGAGTGGCAGTGAACTTATTTTACAAATCGTTATTGTAATCACTTATACTTTGCTGGACTGTTCGAAAATTTCTCTTGCTCTTTTTTTCTTTTCTTTTTATTTCCCCCTTTAAGGCTCTATGAACGTTGTAATTACTCAATGAGTTTAATATTGTGTCATTGACTCGAAACCATTGATGCGATCATTGCTTATCTTTTTATCAAAGTCGTGATGAGTGCGAAATACATTATTAGGTCTTCGCGTTTTTAAAGTTAGCTATTTTTTTTATAATATATATATGTATATATATATATATGTATACGCGCGCGCGTTATTACAATTTTTTTAGAAACGAATTATTCTTGTTATAATATTATATATATATATATACGTGGGTCTCAATTACAGATAAGTGTAATTCTTTTCGCACGTAAGGACTAAGAAAGGCCTTTCGCACCGACGCTCTCTCTCTCGAGACGCATAATCGCACGCAGATGGAAACGCCTTTCGTAATTCACTTACGGATTTCGTGTTGATCTTTTTTTTTTTAATTACGTTATGGCATACTGCATTTTCTCAAAGATATAGAAATTGCCGCGCATGTGATGATGATAACGTTTTGGTGCCAATGATCTATCTTTTGTGAACACATATCGCAGCATGCCTTTTCTCGGTGAGGTGGTAATCGAAAGAAGGTATCTTCAACAGGTGTGTGTTGCCGCAATACGATGTTGGGAGCCGGATATAGTTTTACAGCTACAATAATAACCGATGCGCGCACGCGCGTTTGCAATCTCTTTTTACTATAGCGATGCAATTTGCATATACGTCGGCTTTGAGAATCTACAAAAATTCCTCGGCATCGATGCGCCTAACTTGAATCAAAATAATCGCACATACATCGTATGCCTCAATAATTACCGCATTTATTAATAAGCTTGTAATGATTCCGAAATGGTGATATAATGGCGATATAGTCGATATAATTATTATACAGTCATTGCACAGGTGTGTGAGAAAGAGAGAGAGAGAGAGAGGGAGAGAGAGAGAGTGAGTTTATTCGCCCGTCTCGGTGAAGTTTCCAATTATATTAATTAGCTTGTTATATGTCGTGCTACTATTATCTAGTAGCTATATATAGTTTCTATATGTATATATGCCTAGCCTAGAGTTATTGATAATTAATATAATATTCTGAATTTTCTGATAATACTCATATAATGCAAGGAGATCTACTTTAGTATATTTTTTTCTTTTTCAGTTCAATATAGCTTTATTGCCTTTCTCACTGATTCTGTATGTTTTGGACAGCTTATAATTAAAAACTTCCTTTAGTTGCTCTCATTCGAATGATATCGTACGGCGCATTTTGCGCGTGATTCCATCTAGATTTATTTTCTTTTCTCACATTCATTTATCCTCTCTATTCTAAATATTATATTGCATTTACGTCGCCATCTTCGAAACAGCGTATCTATTCGAGTCACGTTTGCCCCGCACAAGTAGAGTTGCTTTAGAAAAAAAATCGTCAGGAATTTGTTACGTAAAATTAAAATTTTAATCTTTAAAATTTTAAATTTTCTTTGAAACTTTCTATCATATCCTTTTTATTTTTAATATTTTAGCATCAATTTTTATTCTTTATAAGCGCGTTTGAACAAATAATTTTTTTATTAATAAAGGTGAGAGAACAATCTCGACTTAATTTCTTAGAAAAGTTTAAGTAATGATATTACAAAAAAGCCAAGTATAAAATCTCGGAAACACCTTAAGAAATATCAAAAGAACGATCCAAGTTTTAGAGATTCATACATATATGTGCCACATAAATATCTTTCTATAACACGTCATATATCTTCCAATTATCGAAAAGTTCACACAGTGAATAAAGATGTTTTTATTACCGTTACTCAAAGCATAACATAGGGCATCTTTCAGCAAGCGACATAGAGGACACAGTGTATCACTTCATCCTTGCCGAATGTAAACAAGGATGAAATGATTCATTACACTGTGTCCTCTGTGTCGCTTGCTGAAAAACGTCCATAATATTAACGGAACTGACACATAAACATTACTTATTTAAAACGAGCTTTACTCGAGACGTGAATGAAAGGCGTGACATCACGTACATAAAGTACTCGCAGTTTCATTCAGTTATTAACCTTCAGCCGAGAAGGATCTAAGTAAAATCGATACAGATTCCACTACGGAAAGTAATGTAAATGTACGAGAAGCATATTCTAAACTTTTACAGCACATTTTTTTGTAACACTTTTGTCTAACGACTTGTATGGTACATCATTACTTAATCTCTTCCTTATTCCTCCTTTAAAATAAAACAATTAATAAACGAAATATGGTTTTGTGTGTATTGAAAAATAATCTGTAATATATTTCGAAACGATTAAGGAAAATATTAATTATTTAATTCTATTATAGAGAAATATATATGTAAATATTAGTAAAGAGATGGATAAAAGAATGAAAAGATTTTGAAATTAATTTTTGATTCGAAAAAAAATTAGAACTGTAGATCACTACAAGATTAATATCTAATATCGATTTTTTTCTTTTTTTAGATCAATCCTGTCGGAATGCAGGCTAATATACGATGAGTCTTCACTGATATCGAGATTTATTTATCAATATGCAGATGTACCGGAAGATGCAAACCACGACAGTCGACAGATCGGTAAGTCATAATACTCACTTTTGCATAATCTATAGTCGAACGATTTATGAATCTACGAATTCGTCAGATCGCGTTGAGCTCTTGCATGCAGGTATAGACGTGAACGCAACGTAAAATGATAAAAGCGGCGAATGCGTAATCACCACCGATTTTCGATTCGTATTATCGTGAAAGAGAGGAAGGACTTCTCTCGAAGAAATCACGGTTGCTCGATCGACATGAATTTCTCGATCGACTTGTGTGTGAAATTTAAAACGACTCTGAGTCAGTATCACTGCTTGTCCTTGTTTTGCGTCACTCGTTGGTAAGGCTACTTTAGCGGGAAACGGAGTATGCCAGTCCTCCAGTTGTGGATTATTATACACTTGTTGTGACTCAGCGACGTTTTTCAAGTACAGAGTAGAAGTATACAAGTATATACACGTATATGTACAGCACGTGGGGAGAGATCGACGTCTCCCCGAGAGTCCCGAAATATCGAATCGCGTGCACTTTGTTTAAAAAAATCGATAGCAGCGGAGGGAGGGGGAGGAGAGAGGGGGAGAAAGATTAATGACGGAGTAAGAAAAGGCATGCCTCTGCGCAGACAGGCTGCTGTTATTGATTTCGCAATTTCGAACGGGAAGGTGTGTCGATTCCTATCGCGATAAAAAAAAAAACGCATCTACGATCCTGAAATATCGATCATTCATTAATTTACATTCGCGAAGTTGCAATTTTAAATCAATTTAGGAGGATTACAAAAATTTCACTTCGATTCATTTCTTTTTAGATAAATTTTTATACGCATATTTTTCTTATAAAACATTTTGTCGCGTTCTTTTCAGATGTTATCGTTTACTAACGATTGAAAATAACTTCAAGATATATTGCAGAAATATTTGAGATGCGAATAATTAAGGAATCGACACATCCACACGGCCGAAGCTGAAATTGTATTGTAGTGTACCCTGCGTCTTGTAAGATAAAATATGGTTGATTAGTTTGTTGAATATACTGCGGTCGAGAGGCACCGTATGAATTCGACGTGATCGCGAACGTCGTCGAGGTCGCGGCTAATCGAAAGATAAGCTAATAATTCCATGTGGTTTCTTTTGACATTAATTTAATGCAGTTGGTCGATGCCCAATTTGAGATCTTCGATACGAGATTCGCTATACTTGTTCGTTAACGCACTGTTACGCACCGCGACTTATAAAGGCAAGTAAAATTCCTTTTCCCATCTCCTTTGATTTCATAAATTTCGAAAAATTGCTAGCCTTCCCTCGCAACGAAAAATAGGCGGATTAAAAGGAATCGGCAGAAAATTGACCTCAATTCCTTTTAACTCCCCATTTTGCTTTCACAGAGGTCGGAGCACCTTTAACCGGCGAATTTTTTTTATCGTTTGAAACATCGCTTTTGAATATTCCGATCGTCATCATCATCTTTTCGTTCATTCGGAAATTAATCAGTCCATTCACGAAGCGAACGAATTCGATGCGTTTTCGTCTCTCCGGCACGTAGCGTACATTCGCTCTCGATAATTCCGGAATCGAACGCCGGAAACGACGAAAAGAAAATATCACAGTGTCTCGAGGGCAGCTCGCGTAATCTTTTGAATTTGTTGCGGGTTTATGGCAGTCGCGCGCACGGTACATCTATCCCATCCCATCGTTGTCGTCGCGGAAGTAACAGCGCGCGGCTTAATAAATACACAACACGTTGCGATGAATCGTACAGAGGACAGAGTGTGATACAAAAAACGACACGTAGTCCCGACACATGAGTCCTAGAAAATTAATGATATAAAAGTGAAGGGGTATTATTATAGATACACGTTCGTCGCCTTCGTTCTCTCTCTTCCGAGGACGAAGGGGTTGCTACGCTGACCGGGGAAGGGGGTGCGGACGAAAAGCGCGTCCTCGACCAAGCCTATGCCTTCCCCCCCCCCCTTCCCTGCCTCCTCGTGTGCGTGTGTGTCTGCCAATTCACATTTCGATATCCTTCGATGTCGCACAAAGTTCCGAGTATTAGCGCGTGATCGCCGATGAAGCGATCTTCTTTTGCATTTCCCGTTTTCCCAAGCATACTCTAAGCACAAATCACTTTCGCAGCATTTCGATTAATCTATCTCGATCGCTCATCATCCACGCGCGCGGTTACACGTCTTTTCCCGACTCGAATGCCCGAGGGAAGATCGGAAGGAATCTTTCCGGGGACGAGAATCTCGCGTCTCGTCTTCATCGACATCTTCGGCATTTTTCGATATTACCTCGCCAAGCGATCGAATATCGGTTTCAAAGCATCCCTCTAACGTATTCATTTTATATTCGAACATTTCGTGACGTTCCGAGTTAATTTATCGTCGCCAAGTACCTTTGAGATGTAAGCTCGATCGGGATAATTTCGACAACAAGAGCGGATGAATGCGACACCGGAATTTTTCCCGGACGATAATCGTTACGAAGTCCCGATTCGCATGTCGCGCTTGTACTTATCTCATAATAAATATCACGAAACGATTAAGAAGTGACGCCCGGTCGCGCGCGGTTACGTCGTCGAGAAAACTATCGCGGTGCCTCATTTATCCTTAAATCGGAGCGCATTCGTTGAACTCGACACTCTTGGAAAAAAATCACCCCGATCGACCCCAAGCTCTTTTCACTGAATCGATTCGACTCTCTCGCGGAGACAGACAGACAGACATACACAGAGAGAGATCGCGATCGATGAAAACGAGGAACACTCGTCACTCAATGTATCGCCCGTACCGATGATGAGATTTCGCAATACTCCGCTTCGCGTTTTTTTTTTTTTTTTTTCGTTTCCGGTTCGTCTCCTCTCACTGTTCGCTGCATATCGCGCCGCTCGTCGTCGTCGTCATCGTCATCGTCATCGCCGTCGTCTCGAAGCTGTCGGTCGCGCTCCAGCCGAGGCTGGCCGCGCGACGCAGACTGTGACGCAGGAAGGCCGCGCACGCTTTGCTGCTCTCGGTGATGATCTCGTACAGCTGCGTCTCTAGGCTAAGGCTGCTGGTGGTGAGCAGCAGCGGCAGCGGTATCGGCGCGTTCATGATCACTAGGTTACCGATATTAAGAGGAGCTGTTTCCCATTGTCAGACACCGCTGTTCGGAAAGCGTGGCGGGGGAAGCGGGGGCGGTGGTCTCTCCGGCTGAGCGGGAGCGACGGAAGAGCGCTCGGATCCAGCTGCAAACACAACTGTGGGGTGCACGTTAATCTCACGTGTGTACGCGATTCCCTCGACACGTGTGTCAATTACTTGTCAACTACTTTCCGGACACATGGCTAAAGTATATATGTTTAGATATGTATATGTATATGTCTCTCGTGTAAGGACAACAAGCAAGCTTCTACCGCACTCTCGATCGTTGTGCCTCGATCTTTCCTAGATCGGAATTAATCCGCGATACATAGGATAAGTATATAATGCTTCGTCTTCGTATGTGTTCGTGTGTGTGTTTAGCAAGTATCTTCAAAATTCAAGAGGGCGACGTATGATAAGCTCCTTCTTTATAGCCACTGCTACTCTTAACAGTCTCAGAGCTAATCCCATGCAATTTAAGCGCACTGATGTAAACTGGCCAAAAAGAAGGTTCACGTTGGGAATTATTCTGTCCGACGTTAAAAGTTTTTCTCGGATGTATGTAATCGGTATTAAGAGCGAGAGATAAGTGGCGCCTTTGTTGCAAAATGAATGTTCGTTTAATCGTGAATCTCCTTTAAATCAAAATTCTCAAAAATAGCATTAATGTTGTCTCTGTACACGCGTGTGTAGATGCGCGTTCGCGATATCCGGACATTGTGATATTTGAAAAAAATTTGTTTAATTTGAGAAAACATGATGTACTTGCTCGTATATACAATTAGTAAGAATATATATTCGTGTCTCCCCCTTATCGCCACACGCGAAATATCTTAATTACAATCGCTAATTAAATTAATAATGAGATCCGAGCTAACTGACTTAAAGTTTTCAAAGCCAAACGTCCGAAGCTGAAAATTCTCACAGGAGATGAAATTGCTCTTCGCTCCTACGCACTAGAGATTACATTCATGCGCGCATGCCCGATACCATTCATGCTGCGAGAGTTTATTGTACAGCATCGTACTAAAATTAACAGCAACAACGCCAAGTATACGTATGTATATGTACATTGGCTTGAGAGAGAATTCATTACATAACGAAATAAATCTTCGCCCCGGATTGCCACATCAATTTCACAGAAATGCTATGTCAGTATATAGTATGTGTCAATGAGAGATTGGCCTGCCTTCCATTTAAACTACTACAAAGGCCAGTGTCGATAGCGCATAAGATATATTTATATATATATATATATATACGATATAACGTTCGTATAAATAAGCAGGATATGAGTATATATATCTATACCCAACTTTTCGTTTTGCGTGAGATTACGTAGCATTAATTTCAACGTGTGTAGATTCAATACAGGATGGGAAATTCACGTTGTACAGATATGACGATAAATATAGTATGTATGTAATACATATAGAGCTTATTATTCTCTCTCTCTGTGTGTGTGTGTGTGTGTGTGTGTGTGTGTGTGTGTGTGTGATACAGATATTGTTTACAGTTTATTACAGATGCGAAGATATCGCCGAGAATCGTTGCTCCGCGAAGGCAATGTATTTTCGATTGTTTGGTTAATGTGTAACGTAATTATATCAACTTGCTTCTGTAGATTTTTTATATACGATTATGCATTGTCAGAAAAATAAGCTCTACTGAAACTCTGAAAGTCCAGCGAGTTTTCGGTGTATGTCGCGAGAGTACTCAACTCAAGCGGTGTATGAAACAAAAAAAGCCAAGGTAGAAAATCACTAGATCGATGTTCAACGTAAATTATTACGTAGAATGAGAACAAAATGTGATCATAAGCAAGCACTGAAAAGCGACATTTGTCGAAAAAAACGACAGGTTTAGTTAGAAATTCAATTTTCCTCGCAGAGAGTTTAAAAGAAAATGATTAGTTTGTGCAATTATTCTAATAGATGGACGATGTCATAAATAGATCAAATTTTCTTGTGAGATCTCTCGATATAGAGTACACGTTGCGACATTGCGATCTGTCTTTGCCATCATTTACTTGTTATCGCGATAAGATATAAATAAAGTTTTGATAATGTTTTCTCGCTATAATCACTCGTGTGTGTCTTGTCGAAGCGGCACAATGTATACTTTGACTGTCGTGTAACCAGCACTTTGACGCCTCTGCACTTTCGAATTATACTGAAAGCAGAAAAGTAACGTTCGCAAATAAATTCAAAACAGATGTTCCACAATGAAACTACAAATCAGGAAAACTTACAAACATACATATGGCATGCAAAATGATGGGTATGCGCGCAAAGCGACGCACGGCAAACAATTCTTGTATACCGATGATTTGCTATGCGTTCGATTATTAATGATTTAATAATCAATCTTAATGCTTTAATATTTGCAGAAAAATTTAATACAAAAGCTTAAGTCATGATAAGATGATCAGGTGTATAAAAAAAAAATTAATAAATATTTTGAACATAATATGCAAGTTATGATATATGTAAAATAAATAAGCAATGATAAAAATGCAAAAATCTGATATAGTAAAAAAAAGTTATTCCGAAAAATCGGATTATATTTAATATAGTCAGCCAGTGCATGTGTCAGTTTTTTCATTCAATTCACTCATTAAATTGTCAAAATATTGCCAACGGCCCATTTACAAATGGGAAGATAAAGCTTACGAAAGATGCCTGATCATCCGTAGTCACCGCACAAAGTATATCGAGAGAGAATAAAATTCCAAGAAATTCTCAATAAATTCGCAGCCATTCGCAGTTTAAAGAATTGTTTGTCTTGCGGACGAAGATGACAGGGTTTTACAGATTATCGTGTTAACGATGTTGGTCAGGGTTTTTTTTTAAAGCCTTACATGAATCAGGATGTGGCTTCTCCTCTGCCACCATCAGGGCTGCACTCTCTGCTGGCGGTATGTGTCCCTCTAATGCATTCACACAGTTTAGCATGCTCCTGTAAAACATCACGCGACTTGTCCAAGTTTCCATTTCTTTAAACCACATTTCTATTTTTTGTTTTCTTTTGTCTTTTTTTTTTGTCTCGCTTTTTTCATCGCATGAATTTTCTTCCGGAGCATCGACTCGACGTGCATTGCACTGCATCTTATGAAATACATTACGACAGTTTTAAATTTAATCTTTTCATTTGCCATCAATCTGTTTCCAATTGAATCACTTTTACTTGAATCCGACGAATCGGAAATCTATGGGAGCCAGCTATACCGTTGTTACAATTTTTTATCATGACGGATATTACCGTATACTGTGATATGATCAGCTGAATTTATTAAACTGAATGATACATGATATTTTAAACAATGAATGATGAATAAATGTAGGGAAAATACAGCTACAAATGCAAAGAAAACTCAAGATGCGAAATTTATAGAGGGAAAATGTAGGTTTGTCTTTATGCTGATTGCGCGATCTACGAGATGATAAATGAATGAGAATTGTTATCTTTTTTAACCCACTGATACATATCCTAGACGATTCAGACTATCCTAAACTGTTCAGCTGGTTATTCGAACCTAAATATTGTTAGACGTTTTAGAGAGAGTTGCGACAAATGTTATAGAATAAGTTACATTTGACTTTTTTTTTACCATCTATGGTAAGCAATCATTCTCGGATTCAGAGATCGGTGAATCCATAACTGGACGGATTCATGGATCTTGAAATCACGAGTAACGCCAAGAATCCGTGCGCGAATTTCACGGATGCACAGCTGCACTCGTGTTTATACACTTGGCAATATATAAATATTATGTAATAAATACATATATGTATATAATGATTCATTTCACAGTTTCTAATCTTGTAATAGTATAGCGTTTCACTGGCCTGTGTAGTAAAATTTATGTATATGTATACTTATACTAAGAGAGAGATAAAAAGAGAGAGAAAGAATTAAACATTATATTCGGCAACCTGTGGCAAATTATACATCTAGAAAGAATTCATCGAGAGACAATTTCCTACCAAAAAAGATGAAGGGAAATATTCGGAAATAAATAAAATCACAATAATTTTGACAAACAACAAATTATGATACACATATGTATATATATATATAAATATCTTAGTGCAAAGGATAATACGATTTCTCGTGGAGTCACTGCGTGATTTTCAACTTGGCTTCGCCGACTCGAACGAGAAATCAGAATTGATCCTGATGGTGAATACATTTTGAAGCCTATATATAACATGGAAGAAAAAAAAACTCAATCCGGATATTTAAATAAACAGATTTATTTCACAATATGAAGAATGTGATAGTCTGATTCGGTGATGCCGAAATATTCGTAAAAACGTGTATAATGCTAGCAGGAACTTCATCTATCAAATCAACTTATCAGATTATTAGTACTTTTTTTTTATTAATTTGTATCATTAAATAATAATTTTTTGTATTCTGCAATTTTAAAAAAAACTGTAACACTACTACCTTAATAGGCGATTTTTAGCGATAGTTTAGTATATATACCAAGGTTTAGTATACAGGGTGTCCCATTTTAATGCCCCACCCCAAATAACTTTCTTATTTTTAATTTTAGAAAAAGATGTTTCAGACAAAAGTTGTATGGTTTCGAGGGGGACATAAGATGGTACCATTAATTTGATCTTGAAGAGTCACATGAAGGTTACGTGAAGATCATTTTCAATTTCTTAAATGGAACACCCTATATATTTTTGCATATTCTTGTAGCTTATCTCGAGAGCTTTCCAAAACACTATAAATAAACATTTTTTCATCAAGTACGTTTCGAGTAATGAGGCTTGAAATCATTTCTTAATTTTACATAAACCATAAAATATCTTGTAAAATATTCATTTTTTGATTATCTTACCTTAATACTTTTATGTACAAAATAATGAGGGAAATCCATTGGTGCAAAGAAAACATACAGTTGTTTTTAAGAAAAAAATATGTAATTTGCAATTAACAATTCCATATTTTTTCTTAAAAACAACTGTATGTTTTCTTTGCACCAATGGATTTCTCTCATTATTTTGTACATAAAAGTATTAAGGTAAGATAATCAAAAAATGAATATTTTACAAGATATTTTATGGTTTATGTAAAATTAAGAAATGATTTCAAGCCTCATTACTCGAAACGTACTTGATGAAAAAATGTTTATTTATAGTGTTTTGGAAAGCTCTCGAGATAAGCTACAAGAATATGCAAAAATATATAGGGTGTTCCATTTAAGAAATTGAAAATGATCTTCACGTAACCTTCATGTGACTCTTCAAGATCAAATTAATGGTACCATCTTATGTCCCCCTCGAAACCATACAACTTTTGTCTGAAACATCTTTTTCTAAAATTAAAAATAAGAAAGTTATTTGGGGTGGGGCATTAAAATGGGACACCCTGTATATACCAAGGTTGTTTTTAATACAGGCGGGACTTATTCTGATACATGACATCATGTACCTGTTTCATTACTTGGTATAGCATGGTATCAACCAGCTACATACCAAAACAGCTAATGAGTACAATAAAAAAAGGACTACAATAAAAAAAAAGAAAGTCAAATGCAGAAATACAACTGATTGAAAAAACTCACAGTTTTTTCACAGTTTATCACAGTTTTTTTTTTAAATTGCACAGGATACAAAATTATTATTAATCATACCAATTAGTACAAAATAGGTATACAAATATTAGTACTAAATAATCTAATAGATTCGATTTGATTTGCTCCTGCTAGCTTAATAGAGGTGCTAGTTTCGAGATCGAATCGTAGCTTTTAATGTAAAATTACAGTGCGTATCGATTAACACAGTTTCTCACGCTATACAATGAGCGCTACGACTCTCTCGTCATCCAATATACATGTATATAACAATATGTAGATCAATAATAGTTTCTGGCTAACCACGCCAGAGTGTCCACGATATCTTTCTCCGAATGAATCGATTGCAGATTATAGACAAGTTCTCATTGTTTAGATCTATAGTTTGTCCATTATAATTTATGTATTACAGCTCATATATGGTATAGCGTGGGTATGGCTGGCAGTGGTGGCATCAGATAGACCGGTCTCCTTGCTAGAATTAGTGGTGAGCTCCTCTTCCCTGCAAGATAATAATGTTACATGTCCAAATGATACTCGAATTATTTTTAGCTTTTGGTTTCGGAGAGATCCTATTTTTATCTTTGCGCGGATATTTGCACACGTGTCGTAAGTGCCAGATTATTCCAAGTTAAGATCATTAATTTAAATTATTTTTTACCAGAAAGTATAATACTAATTATTTTGTCAGAAAGTACAATACATTGTAGACAAATTAGTACAGTTGTGATACTCGGCTGATGTAATTTAAAATGCGAGTCGTCGAATACGCTAAAGAAGAAAATCGAAAAAGGAGAATCATTTTCTTTTTATCTGTGCACGTAGGATGCATTATGCACGTTATTTTATACACGTTTTAGCAAACGTAAACATTAAAAAATAAAAAGAAAACATTCGAAACATTTTCTTTTCTAGTTTATTTGACGACGTATTTCAAACTATTATATGTCAGCCGAGTATCATAACTATAATTGATGTCTTTACAATGTACTGCACTTTCTTGTAAAACGATAACTGGTAATTATAAATTTTTACTACGACATATAAGATGAATGAATGTCTGATCTATATCCAAGACAGCTTCTAATCAATAATGTAGTATTATAAATAAGCTATTCGTCTCAAATTTAGATTGATTTTAAATATTCTAATTAAAAGGAGAATTAATAGCGAAATTTTATAATTATTTTTTATTGATTAAATAATTTTCGAAGCACTGCCTCGAAATTTCTTCTTCGTTGCTGACGATGAAAATACAAACCGGTTGTATCGACATTGGATTGCAACGACTACATTACCTTTCCTATATATTGTAAGAATGTAAAGTATAGAATTGTAAAATAGAACGAAACGTCGAATTGCTAACATAAGACCAGTTAAACCAGAACTCATCAATATTAGCTTTAAGTTGTTACAAGAATAGAATAGATTATTGTTAGTTTGTTATTCATTAAGCAAATTTACAGGCAAATTAGTAAGTTTATAAAACATTTAATATTTACGCCTTGGATTTTCTCCATCACCATATTTCTGCGAGAAAAAGCATTCCCTACAAATATAAAACGAGTTAAAACGTTAAAACGAGAAAGTTCAGATACAGTATCTTTGACCCTTATTAATTACCATCCAATTATAAACGCATGGATGATTGATATTACGCTGGTGCTTCTTAATTGGCTTGTCTCAAGAAACAAATGACTTTAAGAAACTTTTGCTGAATCATAAGCAATGTAACCGATTTATTCCCCTGACGAGGTACAATTTTTCGAATGTTTCGGCAAAACCTTGGTCGAAAGTAATCATGAGAGAAGAGGGAACGAAGAAAAGGAAGAATACGTCCCAAAAAAAAACTCTCGTCGCAGAAATTAATGAAAACACAGAATCACGCGACTTTTACACGACGATGAGCAACGATGCAAAGCGACGAGCCTTCTGTCGCATCCGATTCGACCGCACACATTCGTCGTGGTAGTACGTCAAGTATCCCTTAACGCAATTTAGAAAACGCTTTGGTACGCCAAACAGTAACGTAAGCACTAACATGCAAGTCGCACAATACAGCGCCATAAACTCGTGCCAACTATCGACATAAAAACTTGTTTCAAGACTCTGCCTGTCGCTGAAACACTTACTGGGCATTGTATGTATATACTAAAAGGAGCATGCTATAAAATACGAGGCTCCAGGAGAGGAAGTCAAGTGATCGGGGCTGTTATGTATGTGATTTTAGCCACGGTGTGTGTATGTGAGTGTTCGCGGAAGCGAAAAAGGTCTTCTCGGTGTTTTCGAATTCGAGCGTAAAGTTTCCGGAAACGCCGAAGTACGATCGTCATGTGACTGTAAACACGACGATTTATTCGAGGTAAGAAGAGCGCGACAAACGGCATAGATAGACCGCGGAATTATACGGCACCGTCGAATTTACCGCAATCGCGACGCATACATATATATACCGGTTACATAATAGCCCTGACGAACTTTTAGAAACTGTGAAATGTATCTCCACAAAAGAGAAAAACGAACAATTTATACGGTAACAACTTATGTCCATGCAGCTCTATGTATGTATAACTGTCTCTCTCTCTATCTCTCTTTCTCTCTCTCTCTCTCTTTCTCTTCATCAGCCTAACTGATTATGCAATGAGATGGAGACTCGCATGAGCTGGATAGTAAATAAAGATTTCGACATGCCAGGCCTTTAGACCAAAGTTATATAAGTTATATAATCGCTGGGATCGAATCGAGATTATTTTTTAAGCACTTTATCAATCTCTATCAATCGCATCTCAAGAAATGCTAATAAAGAGAAAAGTTTATAGGATAAAAATATTTACTTCGTAAAAATATTTACTTCATCTTTCACTTCATATCTCTTCTCGACGGAAATATTTTCTGAGAGAATTATAAAGTAGGTTTTTAAATTAGTCTCTTGCAGGAGAAAAGTATTTGAATTGATTATTCGCTGCATAGTTATGGAAATGCGTAAAAAATAATCTCCTTTTTTTGAACATGTAATTAGTGGTGTCTTTGATCATTTATCTTCATGCAGTTAAATATAGTATAATCAGTATGTTCGTATAATATACTGTAACAAAGCCACCACAGTAACGGGAAACGTGTGTAGCAGGACTCACCCATAAAGTCTGCTGTCCCGCAAGCTGCTCCTGCTCCGAATAACACAGAAAGCACAATTACGATATATCAAACACAATCGTTGTCATCGTAAGTAACGAAACACGGAAATTAACGAAAATCGGTTACCCAGAGAACTATGAAATAATCGATTTATTGAAACGATACATGTACAGTACGTTAAACAAACAAAATATATATCCACATTTGGCCTTGAAAATATAACGATAAGACTATAAAATCTCCAACTCGAACTCGCGACTCGAATGAATAACGGGTCTCTTACAAATTACATTATACGAAAGAAATCGCAATTTTGTCAATAAGCCAAATAATAGTGCTTACATGTTCGATTGCTCTCTTACGTAACATAGAGCAGATAAATTCTTACATAATTCTCTCTCAGAAATCTAACAGAGTATCAGACCGATCTGAGAGAATCAAGAGCGATTTGTACTTTATTCGCAATATTTCATAAATGAGACGCTAAAATTACGGTCTTGATATTTTACATTTGTTTCCAGAAACTAATAATCTACGAGATACTGATTGTTTTCTTTTTTTTTTTAACGCTTTTCTCGTATAATAATCTCGTTACATGATTCGCAATGTCGTGCATGTTGCCTCTTCTATTTGCTATCGATTAGCGCGTTGCGTCTTATTTGCAAATTGTATGCAAAAATGTATTCTCCTTGCAACAGTTTAACGAAACAAGTTTGAGGTATATGCAACGAAGGGAAATAAAGCGCGTGACAAAATTTTAAGGTGAAAATTTACAACTCTACTTTAGCTCGTACTTATAATCGTATGTACAAATCCGTATAATCGTAAGTAAGAAATCAATTTTCTCTTCTTAAAAAACGAAACTTTATCACAGTTCAACTTCTGTTATTGCTTCGAACGAGAACAGCAATGCATGCAAAAATGCGTAGCGTAATAATGTACTATTCCAATAATATATAATATAATATATATTTATATATAGAGAAAAAATACACACTCGATTGTCTCGATAAATTATAAAAACTGTTCCTCATTTTTGAAGATTCCAGAAAATCTCTATTATAAATAACAAACATCTTCGTTATCGAACGTAGACGGACGGATGAATGCTCGGACGGATATATGATAACAGTACATTATACATCAAAAGTACGATATATATTTTAAGATTACTTTTTTATCTAAGCCTTCTAACTCTCCTCCTCCTCCTTGTGCAATTAATGGTTAAGAACTTGTGCGGTTATTAGTTCGAAAAATGTTAATTTCGAAATTCTCTTAATTAACTTCAAAACGTATCGAGTCAAAAATGAACGGGATACACATTGAAGGGACTATCGATTTAAGGATTTAAGCTATACATACGTATAGTATATACATGTATATGTACGTGGTAAAGTACCAGAGAATTCCCTTTGAAAGAAACTAAAGAGAGAGGCGGATGCAGAGTATTCAATTATGTATATAACATTTTGCTATTGTGATACGTACTGGGGATGGTAATAAGTTGCTTATGTGCTGCATACCTGTCATTACCATGCCTGAATAAAGCTAGAATCTCTTCGAATGTTTTATTCTTGGTCTCAGGAACCCTCCTGTACGTGAAGATCCAGAAGATGGCTAGAAATGCACTGAACGGTAGGAACGTGTAGTTTTCAAGGCTAGTCTGTAACACACAAAAATCGGCGTAGCAAGTTTGTATAAAATTGAAACGATCCCTCACATCACATTTAATTGTCACATTATCGTGTCATTAACACGCTACAATAATAACATATGATATTAAATTTTTTCGGCTGTTACATTTGATAATTTAGAATTTATTCGCATTTCGCGAATAGAGAAAATAAATTGACGATTAACCATCGTCATCCTCTTAGTCATCGTCTTACCTTCATGCTTGGAAAACCGATGCCGACCAAGAAATTAGCCATCCAATTGACGAGGACCGCGATGGACATGGCGGCGGGTCTGGGACCTTGCGAGAATAATTCCGCCGTGATCATCCAAGGGATAGATCCGGGCCCCACGGCAAAGAACATAACGAAACATAGAGTAGACACCACTGAGATGTACGACATCCAGTCGATCATTTCCTGCACATAGCCAAAAAACTCCTATCAGGCAGTAGAATTGTGTTCTTCTTTCCTGAGCAGCTGGAGGAGCCTCAGGAAAAAATAAAATAAATCATACGGCAGGCTCAAAAACTCAACTAAAAACTCGGAAACACATGTAAACGAACGTAATAATTTGTAGTGTAATGCATGCAGTGCGTAGCTCAACCCTGTGTAATGAAGGCGATAGAAGTGATTTTTGGCGGCAAAAGTATCTCCTCGTATATCATGACAGTGCCTTGTTATGTATAATACAATTTCTCGTTAAGCGGTGAAATTGCTCTTTATGATAAGTGCCAGGATTTGCTTTGACCTCGATTAGTATATTAATGTTATCGTTGTTATACGAAACATTCACATATGCAAGCAATCTCGGGAATACAAGTCTGGTGCGTACATCTTTTCTCGAACAATTCGTATGAAAGAAATCAACCATCCTCAATGTCGGTAAAAAAATATGAGGTGCTAATTGTACAGGACGTTTTTTGTAGTTGATCGCTATCGAAGAATAAATTATTCTTTATCGAACTCTGTAAAGTGTGAAAGCGTCGTGCCAGACATTCAATAGCTGAACAATCATTGAATTTTACTCGTAAAAAGTAATGAATATATATGTATTGTAAGAGAGATTATTTGTAAAAAGTATGTTAATTGCTGATGTAATTGTTGATGCGACATACAGAGTGACAGGTTTGAGCCAAGTAGAAACATAGGCTGATTAATAAACGGGAAGTAAATATCTCCTCCAGACAGTCACGAAAGAGGTCGTCAGTAGTGAAGGGGAGGGAAGGGAAACGGGTTATCAAGAAGCAAAACTACTAGTAAGCTAAAATAATAAAACGGCATGCAAGCATATGATACATATGACACATTATTGTATTTCTATATTTTATCTCGCATTTTTTTTATAATATCGATTACTCGCGACTTTAGCTAAGAGTTATAGTAGTAGAAGTATTTATATAAAAATGATTCTTAAATATATATTTGTCTTGTTTAAAAATTTATATCGAGCAAAACAATGTGTGTGTCCACATGTATCAAAATATAAAATATCTACAACGCAAATGAAAGAAATGGCATGCGGGCAAAGGATGTGACTTATTAATTACATGAATGGCGGGGAGAAATTAAAATGAATTGACATAGTGATGCAGAAATTCATATAGATATAATAGTGATTCTCACTGTCGGTGCAGTGCTGCACTCCAGCTGTGAACAAAGTGTTAAATACACCTTTTGCCAAGGTGCATGAAGTGTCAAAGCGCAAATACGTAGCTATATACAGTTCATTTGTCGTTTGTGATGCGATTTTCCTTAGTAAAGCGCAAAGTTTTTAATAGTATAGAAACACATGAACGGATAAGTTTGTCGTAATTAATCGAATCTTCGTCACGTTACACGTCTTTTTATTAATATTGAATAAATTGTTGTATCAATGTATAAAATTACGTAAAGAGAACAGCGCACTTTAATTATTTTCCTATAGTTATCAATTTAAATTAATAACTAACGCACAGTAAATAGAAAATTCCTGAAATATTTTCTACACTACTAAATCTTTTTCAAAATTGTTCTGTTTCTTAAAATAATATTACGATTGAAAGCAGAAACAGGAAAATTTCAAACGTAATTTATCACCAACTGTCAGCTTATCATTAAGATAATAACGAATACATTTCACAATAATGCAAAATTTAAAATTTTAACTCACCTTTATGAGAAACGAAATTGTGATGAATATTGAAAAGATAAACATGCCACCGAGACCATACAAGTGCAATGTACGTCTTCCTGCCCTATCCATGAGGGGGATGGACACTAGCGTCATAGCAACCATAATGGCACCAATGCCAATGGTTGCAAACTTGGCACTCTCATCCGTTAAACCAGAACTAGTGAACAGATTCGTGGAATAATAAAATACCTGGAAACGCGCAATAATTTTATGTTAGATTTAATAAAATTATAATATTGACGGTGGAAGAGAGAATATAAACGATTTATTCCATAAAAGTCGTTACTCACGGCATTGATACCCGAAAGCTGCTGCGAAAGTTGCATAACCACACCAATAACGAGAGGTTTTCTTAAAGTTGGGCTGCATATAAGCTCGGTCATTGAGATTGTAGACTCAGCTTGTTGAGCTCGTTCCTCCGCTCTCATCTCTTCAATGTCTTCTTCTACTTGGTTACTGGCTCTCAACCTTCTCAAAGCTTTTCGAGCCTCTTCCTCCCACTGTTTAGTAATGAGCAAATATCTAAAAGTATTTTTTTCTTCATTAATTATAATATCAATAGTGAGCTAATTATCTGGAATATAACGAGTTAAAATTGCCTTATTTTTACTCTTGAACTTTGAATTTTTCTTTGATTAAACTCTTCGAAAGGCCTATCTAATCGGAAACAGAAGATATGTTTTGAAATTACAATTGTATGAACTTTGTAATCTCACCTTGGAGATTCCGGGCAAACTGGAAGCAGCAATAGCTGTAGAATGGCAGGACAGATAGCTAGTCCTAAGAGAACGGGCCAACCTTCGTTTGTTCCAAGGATTTGCTCGATGCCCAGCACCTGGGAGACCAGGAGGCCCACCGTAACAGCGAGCTGGTTCACCGTGCCTAGGCCGCCTCTCAGGTTCAATGGCGCTATTTCCGATATGTACATGGGAACCAACGAGGTATTCAAGCCACAATTGACACCGATGATGAACCGTCCGAAGAACAACATTTCGTACGACTCAGCTAGCTTTGTGAAACCCATCAGGCACGCCCCCACGATGCCCAGCACGTTGTTTAGCAGTAAGCCTCCCTTTCTACGATTCAGAAAGCAGAAGGCTAAAGTTAATCTATGTTTTTCCATTTATTAGTGATTATTATGCAACAATTATTGTCTAGATTTTCAAATATCAGGACGTTGTGAAATATCGGAGTTATTAAATTTTCATATTGAAATATTTAAATATGCATACATACATATTGTATATTTCTATAAGCTTTTTTCATAATCTAGCTTTTCTAGATATATTTATTTATTTATTTATTTACTGATTGTAAATTCGGAGCGAAAAGATAGATTATGAAAAAGGAAAAAGAGATAAAAAAAAATATATATATATATAATTTTCAAAGCATTTTGATTATATACAAAATCAATGATGTAATATTGACGCTAACCTGCCAAATCTGTTGGCGATTGTCCCTCCACTGAAACCACCCACCATACCACCGATCGCAAATATGCTCACGGCAACGGAGTATAATGTCTTGACAGAATCATCCGAAATATCTTCTCCGTATCTATCCTTGTACACATCTTTCATAAAATTCTCTATATTCTGCAAAAAGTTTGAGCGCGATTAATTTACAGAAATGTTCGTTTATGAAAATTATTTATGTACATATATCTATCGAGTGTTTATGTTAAAGAAGGAAAAAACGTACCACTTCAGGTGCGTTAATCACTCCAGTGTTGTATCCAAACTGCAACATTCCCAATACGGCTGCCAATATCGCATACGATAAGAAAAGTGTCAGTCCCTGAAAATAATCGGATTTATTGTTTATATACGTGGGAAATATATACATTTTTTTCCTTTTAACACATATATTTTTAACATAATAAATAAAACAAAAGCAAAATATAATAAAAGGAAAGGAGATTAATGAAGTGCATCAGATATAAATGGAACAATGGAGTACTGCAAAATGAAATAAAAATACAAGAACATAGGATTTAATTCTACGAGTTTTATTAACAATTTCTCGTACACATGTTATCAATAAAAATCATACGCATCGCTAATCAAATTAAAGCATAAATATTATAAGGTAAGAAGCAACATTCGCAATGTAGCAACTCAAACTTCGCATTAAATATTTCTCTAAAACATAACGAAAGTTGTGTAAAAAAATAACATTATTATTTATCCGGAAATCACCTGCTCCAGGAGCCTAAGTTTCCGCCGATGGGAGTGCTCTTCCAGTCGATCCACGTACTCCCGTAATTCCTCTATCTCTTCCTTAACTTGCTGTACCGTATCTAGTTCGTGCTGCGTGTTAGGAAAAAAAATATCTGAGACTTCCATACATACCAAACGATTTTTTCATTAAAAGGAAGGTGCGCCGACTGATGTAGGAGTTTTATAAAATATGACATTTTTTACGGCAATCTATGTAATAATTTTAATTTTCATTTTCAGTTAGTTCACGTACATGATATTTTTCTGCGGTAACTTGCACACGCCATTTATATATTGGAATATATTTTATAGTTTTATATTTTTATACAAAAGAGAGACAGTATCGATGCATAATTCTTTTATTTGTGTTATAAAAAAAACTATGAAATCTATCTACAGCAGAATTTTTCGCACTATTATTAATTTAGACATTAAACGAAAAGTTTCAGCAGTATTATTAAAAATAATTTATTAAATTATTTTTTCGCGGTAATATTTTTAGCTTATCTCTTTTTATCTTGGTATCATTATTCGCAAATTAAAGCTTAATCTTAATAAAAAATCATTGGATCGGGAACGTTCGAGTCCAAACGAATAGACGCATCGGAGAGCGTACCTTAATCGCGACCATGTCCCGCTTCACTTCGCTGACTTCGCTCTGACAAGACTCTACGCTCTTCGTGAGCTCCTGCAGCTGCGTGCGGATCTCGCAGAGAGCGACGGTGGTCTCCAGCTGGCGGTCACCCCGCTGCAGCTCGTCCAGCTTGGCACTCAAGTTCATACTCATAACGCTGACCTGTTTCTGCAGACTGTTCCCACACACATAATTCCCGCGTGAATCTCGCTGATTCGTACGGGCAAGCAGATCGACAACATTGTCGAGCACACTGACACTAGACGTTCAAGGCTAAAGCTATTTACCTAGATCCCTAAGATAAAATCCAACTATCTCCGCGCTTAACTGCCGAGCATCTTCGCCTGCGAGATGGTTTAGCGAGTCGCGTTTCATCTCGTTTTCTCGCGCATGGTATTTATATCACGTACAATGAGATATATGAAGATGCGTAATTTACACAATGTTATGAAGAATAAAAAGAAAGAAAATGATTCAATATAGATGCAAAAGCCCGCAGCATGTTTGCTTTGTGAGAACTCAAAAACGTGACGAGCCAGCGTCAGCTCGGCAGCTCATGGGAATGTTGGATAGATGTAACACGAATAGCACGTGACAGATGTATATATGTATATATATATATATATACACATACGTACATACATATATATATATATATATATATATATATATATATATATAAGTGTGTACAATCGGCTCTCTCTCTATATATAATATATATTTATGTAGTAAATAATGTCAAGTTGCAAAAAACAATAGCAGACAAAAATATAAATGCCACTAAAAGCACGTTTAAGGTGTGTGTAATAAGTGTGAGGGGTAACAGACACTACAGTGAAAATATATATACATACATATATATATATATATATATATATATATATATATATGTTTTTCTTTCACAAGCTGTGCACATATTAGATGGAAGTTTGTGAATTCGCGTGTGTAGATATAAGTGCTTCAATATTTATTGAAGAGAGTGAGAATGTCGAAATGATACTCTTTGTTCGTGAATTCTAGAATCTCGCACACCTATAACTATACCGCCTTCGGATCTCTTTTCTCGACATGTACAATTATTTCTATGGCCACGATGCAGGAATGTGCAAGTGAGTGAAAATGACTGATATCTCGCACGCGCTCAATGTACATAATACGTACACACATATGATCATGGAGAATCATGAGACTTTCGAACGAACTCGGTGAATTGGCAAACTCATCGATCGATGTGCACAGCCAAGCATAAAGAGTGACTTAAGATGAGAATGTAATAGAATAGAGCGAGAGGAAAGAGAAAGAGAGAGAGAGAGAGAGAGAAAGAAATTTCTTTTTTTCTAAAATGTATAATGAATAGCAGCAGGTGAGTAGCAGAAATGAATGAGCACATGATTCGAAGAAACGTGAGGAGAGATGAGATAGAAGGTAAGAGATGTAGGAGGAGAAGATAGAAGGGTGACGAACAGACATAGAGAGACAAAAATATGTATACTTATCAAACGAAGGATTGCACCACCATTCAAACGATAAAAAATAGCGTGAGATTAAAAAATTGAGAGACAAGAAATTGGGGAATTGACAATCTAAGTATCCAAAAGTTTATTGAGATGCATTCAGGAATATTTCAAAATCTATGCATTCAAAGAGAGATCACTTTTACATACATACATATATATATATATATATATATATATATATATATATATGATACGTTTGATCGTAGCTTAGCATATTTAAGAAAAATTATAATTAAAAGTGGTACAAGACTAGTTTTGATACGTGTACATACGTAGATAGATAGAGACGAGGGGGAAAGAGATGGGAGAAAAAAAAGAAAAAAAAAAAGAGAGAGAGCAGTGATGATGTTGTCATGTACCTGGGAGGTAGGGAGACCATGGCTGTGTTCCGAAACTACAGTAGCCTCTATGCCTCCCCACTCACTCCTCTTGATTCAGTTTTTCGTCTTATTCTCACAGAGATCTATTTGTTCTTTGCTTTGTTCACACGAGACATATGTACGTACGTTGGATTATCCACCAAATCCAATCAATTGACTCTGAACTGCTTGTTGTCAAGTGGTCCACAACCAAAGGTGGAGAGGTAACGTGTACACGGCGAGAGGGGGTATAAGGCCCGACGACGCCCGCCCCTGCCTCCTCTCTTATCTCACTCACTCTGTAAAACTTTACCTAGTTTGGAAACACAGTCGTGGTTCAGTCAAAAAATCATGTCATAATGATATATTCGCTCGCATTTAGTAATCGTGACGTCCAATTCGCTTCTATTGAGAGAGAGAGAAAAAAAAAAAGAAAGAGACGGAGCCGTCACGTGTGAAAGAGACGTTTTCACACATCACCATGCGACGCACCGCCAGCTTACTCACCCCTGCCTAGCCGCCCGCGTCCACAAGCGAGCTTGCACAATTTGAATGGCCCATCACTTTATGCGGAACGAACAGTCGGCAAAATAATTTACAAAAAATCAGCATGATCTCATGAGAGTGATAAAGAATATTCAGACACGCACACAAATAAGTCACAGCGATGGCACATCGAGCAACAAGTATGTAGTAGTGCTGTCATTTTGCGAGGATCTACGCGCAAGTCCTCGGAGCAGAAATCGTGCTCGTGATCAACTATTTGTGTCGCACAAAAGTGAGTAACATTTTGAGATTCTTACAGTGAAGTCACAATCCATCTATTATGTTCGACGAAAAATATCCCAAGAGAATACGTTTTTTTTTTTTTTTCATTCTCGTTTAGGATATTATTCGACTATGTACGTGATTTCCTTGCACAATCGCGATTCTTTTATCAATGGCGCTGCTGCAACTGACAATAGAATTTCATCGCGAATCGCTTCGTTGAGAACCAATTGCCTGTATCCCCGTGTATATAAACCGGACATCATTACCGGTAGGCATCTCCGGTCTTTATTTTTCATTTCGAGCTCTAATGGTGCTATTGCGAGCTTATTTGTGCACCTGACTTCGAGAGGGAGATATGATTTCGGATGAAATGAGCAATCAGTGGTAAGCCTGCGAGCGCCGCAGCCAAAAAATTCAAGTAACCATAACAACGGCATCGGTAGTGTCTGATTATCGACTGTTATGAGACCGAGAGTGTGTAGTATGTACAAGAATAGAGCTTAAGAGCGAGTGTGATTTATGTATAAATGATGAATGGCATGGCACAAAGCCTTGCATTGCATTCTCGGATACATAAAGAGTCTATATAAAATAATAAGCGGGGAAGACGCGTCCGTTTTCCTTTTTCCTTCTTTTTTTTTCTTTCTTTTCTCTTTTGCCGTCACGTAATTATCGTAAAGTAAAAGGCACCGCCACACTTAGGCTGGAATTACCTGGATGCATTTGCAACACAGTTAGGTTCTCGAGAGAACGATGTTTATGGAAAATGGTACGGTCGTAAAGTCGTTTTCGTCGGTGGCGAAGCTTTATTTGATCGATAAGTAAGCGTTATCGATTCGGTGGAGGAGAGAGCACTTTAACACGGCGGATAAAAGAAAGCGAGAAGTGTCTCCTTGATTGGTATGCGAATCTCGAGAGCTCATATACGCTGTTTTATCGAAAATATTAAGCCAAGTTACTCGCGAGAAATTTCAAGTGTCAAGTCTCTCGTGACAGTTAACATTAGCGCGACTCTATCCAATGTGAATGTCCGTAGACAAACATATTGGAATAATTGAATTTTGCCATAATGAAAGCGAGGATGTCGAAATAAAAGAGACTCTGCAACGTCGAAAGAACGAGAATTATTTTTAAATTATTTTTCTTCTCGAGACTTAGATTCGCGATGATTTTTTCCGACTATTATAATATATATACAACTCTTCGTGATAAATTTAAGGATGTTTTGTATGTACAATTCCAGCAAAAAATAGCTAAAAATCAATATTGACAAATATCCACTTTTGTATTTTGAATATGAGAAATTGTGTGGAATATTATAATTTCATCTTGGCTACAGTGCAGAGATGTATTTTTTAATATTTATTGCGTTTTTACTGAAATATTCCGAATTTTGTTAATCGAAATGATTAATTTTTATATGGCTAACTTGATTGAATTATATTTAATATCTTTTTAACCAGTTAGTACTTGTATAATATTATTTGACCAAATACTTCCTCTGTATCTAAACTTTTGCAAATTTTCAACAAATTCTGAATATTATTTCCATGTGTTTTTGTCATTTGAATCGACGTGGTTATACGTTTCCCATAAGAACGCATGTTAATTCGGTGCAAATTAAAATTCTTACAACTTGTGAATCGATTTAAAAATTGTACCGAAGATATGTAAACATATATAAGGACATTCTGTACAATTTTCATTAAATTCTCTATTTTGAAAATAGGTACAAAACATCCTTAATTGATAATAAATGTATTTTTTCCAGTGACAATTTCAATCAGATTCGGAATTTGTATCAGAAATGAAGCAAGCCGAGAATAACATTCGAGAATTAAATGTCGAAATAATGGCGACGCTATCATGCCACATGAGATTATTTATACATAAGTATAGAAACCAAAAGAAAATTCTACGCTTCACTCGTCATGAAAAGAGTAAAGTATGATTTCTCTATACAAGATCCTAAAAAGAACTCACTACTAATGTGAAAGTCAATACAGAACTCTAAGGCTAGACTATGTTAGAATAATATTTCAAATTGAAATTCATGATCGTTCGTTTTCGCAACGTTCGTCGAGTTAATCTTCTACGGCTCTCGGAGAAGAAAATAGATTATGCGTACAACAGCGCAAGTATCATTTCTCTTAATTTATTTAATCTCGTGTTATTTCAGAATTACATCTGGTCGTAGAAGCTTAACGTATCGACATATCTGAACGTGAACAATGCGAATAATAAGGAACGGTATAAGCTTTTGGTCGCTCGAATCCGATCCGAATAGCCTTAATAAGCGGGATGTTTTCTTGCAAAACTCGCGAATAGTTTGCAGCGTTACGAGCGCCGATAAGAATTTTCGGAGTTGACGATAGCGCGAATTCTTCGCAAACTTTTATCGGCGCTACCCAACGTCCAACAATCCAGATAATTCTTCGAGACATTCGGTGGCGACGCCAATCATCCTTGGATAACGTAATTAATGTAATTTTTGGGTTGTTATAAAAGCCTTGTTGGTTTTTCGATAACGATTATATCGAGTCCAAGGATGCTAAAGATCTAAAAAGCCCAGCAGCCGAGGACTAATCGCCATATGAGCCCGGAATTGCGATATAAATGAGCAGTAATAATAAGCCAAACATTTTCTGCATAATTATTTTTTTCGCATAGCACAAAAATCTCAAATCTTTCTCTTTGCAATCCTAAAAAAAGCGGTGTAACAAAATAAGTATATATTGTGCGTTACATTTCGTTTCTGAAAAACAAGGGGAACGCGACGCGAATGAATGACAATCGTCCAACGGCTCGTATCGCTGCGATAATCCTACCGAGACATCAACAAAACTTGGACAACAACTCTTCCTCTTGGCACAGAGCCGTGTAACGCGGAAGTTGCCTCGACACGTTGCGCGAGGTGAAGTGGTGTACACCGACTCGAGGGGAGGAGGGGAAACCAAGAGAGCGTGAGAGAGACTGGTCGTTCGCGACGGATCGTACGAACGTACCTTACGAGCAACTCCCGTAGAGTGGCTTCATCGTCCTCCTGTACCTCTTCCTGCGTCTCATTACTGAAGGCGCCGCGGCTAGAGTGATGATGGCGGTGCTGCCTGCCGGTCGTCCTGGCGCCGGATGCCGGTGGGTACTGGCCGTGCAACCCGTGATGATGATGATGGTGGTGCGTCGCCGAGGCGTTGGTGCTGGCCGAGTGCAAGTAACGGGCGACGGTGCTCTGGCTCGTTGGTCGCCCCCTGGTCAGCTTGAGGCCGGTAGCCGCAGGAGGCGGCAATACGGCGCCTGTACCGGGCTCCACGTGGATCCTGCGCGCGGCATACCGCTCCTCCTCCACCCTGCCGACGATGACGATGTCCTGCTGGCGCGCCCGATCCGATGGCCGACGCCGATCGGCCGATCCGCTGCGCGATCTCGCGCCGCTGCTCGCGCCCGATCCCGACCCCGACCTCGACTGGCCGTTCCTGCCGACGATCCTGCTACGGGGGACGGTACCGCCGCCGGCGACGATGTCCTCCCGGCCCCCCGACTGATCGCCCCACCAGTCGCCGCTACCTCCAACCTGGACCCCGAAATCGAGACTTCCCCTGCTGCCGCCGACGTTCTCGTCCTCTTCCTCCTCCTCCTCTTCCTCCTCCCCCTGCACCGCGTGCCCAACGGCGGCACCAGCCGGCTGGTCCGTATCCTGAGACCCCGAGAGCCCCGGGATCTCCTCGTAGAGACACTCCGAATCCTGATCCGTCGGCACTGTTGCGCTCTGCCACAACTGGTTTATTGGCTTGAAGCCGCGTGAATCGGCCATCGTTCAAGCTGCGCCCAAAGACAGACGGAAGCCGTACATACAGTGGTCCTCTCCGATCATGCTCTCCTCTTTTTATCGTTTGCGTATCCATTGCGATAACTAACGACATTTCGATAAAGTGCCAGTGACGATCCTTTCGTGACGCTTGTCTCCGCGATTATGGAACTGATTTTTCTATAGTAATGAGACGAAACCGACGACGAAGCGCGCGATACGACGAAAAATAATATCGTGTATCGCGGTGGCAAAATTGTCGCGGCAAATTGTGTCAATCGTATCATCCGCATACGATCCACGGTATAATCGATATTTTGTCAATTGACGGAACGTCTATCGCGCTCGACGTTTTCTCGCCTCGATTAAAGTCGAATTAAGCCTCGAAAAAATCCATCACGCTGATGCCACGTGCCTTAATGAATACCAAACAAATTTTAGAAAATATGCGTCCTATCGTAAGAGCCGTCTGGCAGACAGCGGGAAGAAATAATTCACGGAGAGTTTGCCCGCGATGCGCATGCATACAAAATGCTCCAACTTTGCCGGCAGCTTTCGCTCGCGGTGCAGCTAATAATATGAGATGTCGGGTTGGAGTAAGGATAACTGAAATAATAGCGTTTGCCCTCCAAGGTGCGCGGATCCCGGCGGAGCAAAAGTTGCTCCCTTCGTAGAGAATTACACGGTCGCAAACAAACTATAGACTCGTCACGTTTGCCGCTAACCTCGGCTTGCAGCAAGAATGAGAGTCTGTGAGTGACATCGCCTGCAGACGAATTACAAAACACGGAAATTTCCGAGACGATGCGTTGAATCACCGTTTCAAGTATGTATTGCGCCAATCAATTCCAATATAGTCTTTTTTTTTCAAGAAAAGTTTGATTATACGCTGCGTGTGTATGTAAATCGTGATAGTCTCGATGAACGATGATTGTTTCGGGGAAAAAATGAAGTATTTTGGCGAATAATATTTAGTCATTGTGAGTAAAAGGTCTCCAATTCTACGTAGTTTCTGTAGGCTTGGATTTTAACCCTTTGCACTCGAGAAGTGACCTTCAGTTGCCAACAATAATTGTTTAAGTTTGATTTAGGTGCGCTTCATAGTAAAGCATTGTGTTTATTATTTTATTTAAATTAGTATTGTAAATTATTATTTTAAATTTTTATTAAAAAAAAAAATATCTTAAAGTATTATTTTAAACTCGATCTTTTTTGTTGCGTGGAGACACGTCTCTTCCAAGCCTCGAGCTGCGATATCGACATGTGGATATCAGGATAGATTGTGTTTCCTTTTAGGAAGCATAGGATGCTTTCGTCAAAAAGGCGATACAATTTTTATCTAAGAATTACGCCCTTATCGCTGCTTGGAATGCACTTGTGTCAATATTTCGAAAACGATCATCGTAACAAAAGAATAGTTGTTTCAATATTTTTTAATATATGAAATATATTGAAATACAATAGTTCTATCCGTTAATGTATGTATAATTTATTATTATGTTAGCTATACAAAATTTCAATTTTTTATCAAAATAGCTTCTTCGAGTTGCTAGTTTTACAGCAAAAAAACTATCGAGTGCAAAGTGTTAAAGATACATAAATTTCGCGAATAATAATCAGAGAAGAGAAGCGAATTATTGTATAACGTATACAGAGTTGCCACAGTGATGGAACTCTGTAATTTCTAAGATCCATTTTACAAGCAGACGGGGCTTCATATTTAAAGAGGATAAATTACAAACTTAGTCTCCATTCGTGTGCTTTGAACCCCTCCCCTAATAAATTCAACGTCAGCATTTTTAATGATAATGTAAAAATAGCACCATTCTTAAAATACATAAAAATTTTTGAGAATTTCTCGCATCTTCAACAACTTTGTATTTTGGAACAGAAGTGTTTGTTTTACTCACAAGAACCGACAGCGAATATAACACGGGATCTTTATCATTTCAAAACACGGGCCATCTATCATAAATAAAGAAATACAGACTCACCTTAAAGAATTCGCAAGCCATTGTGCCCGGCGATGATATATCACGCCACGACGTTTCGTCTCGCACCTGCTCGCCTCGCTCGACGAAGAAGGAACTCCGGTGTGGACCCTTCGATCTATTAGCTATCGAAAAATCGCTTCGCGACGCGAAAGAGGGCAGCGAAACAAGACGGAGAAAGGGGTAGGAAGGTGAAGTAAACACACGATATACGGATGCGAAAATGGAGAATGCGGTGGAATTTCCACCGCGGTTGTGTACGGAACACTAACGTATCGCGTTTTCAGAGGGCCTCTTCCCTCCGATCGATCGGACTTGTATCGGATTCGGAACAAGACGGCGAGTAATAAGAACCTGTAACAGACAGAGAAATTGATTAATATCGCCGAGAGATGATACGAAACAAAATATGTAATCGCTGGTTAAAATGCGATAATTGATAATAATTCAAAGCGATAGCAATATCTAATTCTAATTATCTCCTTCAATAGTTATTTCGTTCACGAGAAAAACAGCACTCAAACATATGTGATCTAATTTTATCTATAGACTCAAAACTGATATAAAAAAGGAAAATGTTGTTGCTACAACTTCTGTAATGATATCGTCGCAAAGTTATGATGTCAGAATACCAATCGTATTTAAGGTTCGAGCTATTTCCATAAATGTCAGCTGAAATTTTATCAGAATTTTACTAATAAAACTTTCAAAAATTACATTAAAAATCAAATTTAAGTAACATTTGTGAAAATGTCATCTTCACATTTGTAACTATTTCAAAGAAATTTTATAAAAAGATCAAATATCAAATTAGAAGAAAAATACTTTTTTGCGATTTTTCTTTTTTTGCCGAAAATTAGGAAAAATTATTCTTAGAAAAATTGTCGTTCGTCGAGGACGAATTCGAGAGATATTTAATAATTAAGTCACAATCTCGCAATGGCAGGCGGAGCAAGTATGAATGTCGGGACAGGAAAAAATAGGACTCGAAAACTTTCATGTTTTGTAAATTTAAAAACTGATAGAAATTATTGTGACAGGAAGATTACAGCCGCAACGCGCTCCCGGTCGTTGCGAAACTTTCTATCCGCATCTTCCATGAAACGTGACTGAAACTTTTTCACCGTATGCATAGGAGAGGAGAGAGCAGGGATAACAATTATATTATAAATTACACGTGCCACTAAATAGCTATATTTAATCGTTTCGCGTATTTTGTCCGTAATTCTCCTTCGTTTCTGATAATGGCTTAACCGTAACATATACATAAAGTCGGACAATAGTTTGTCCGTAAACTAAGTTTCTCAGAGTTTCCGCAGAATAATTTCGCTTGTAAATGTTTGTCAATATTTCGAAATTGCATATCGCAAGTTGTGGATCTCAAAGATATGTCATTCGATCCGCATCGAAGTTCGTTATTGCACGAACTTTACCGGTTTCAATTTTGAGATTTCAAATCGTGCGAAAAATACTAGTAAGAGAAAGTGTTGACTAGTAGACTGAACATGTATAATTTTTGATATTTTTCCTTGTCGTTCTCCTTGATGTATCAAGTCTGTGACGAAGTTTCTTCTAAGAATTATGGAATTAGCATTCTTTCTTAAAGACAATTGTGTTTTTAAATTCCGGTTAGCAACACATCCGACAAGTGAGTAAATAACGAACGATATGTAAATAATGAACGAGAGTGTTAAAATGTTGCAAAGACAGTTCTTTGTACTTGATGATTTTACCATGATTAAGACTCACACTTGAGTCACCGATTAAAGTTTATACAGCCTTATAAAGTTCTCGGGCTACAATTTGCTTTGCACAATTTTACAAATTTACGAGAAGAAAATAAACGCGATTCTATTTTTAAAAGGGAATGATGCGAAGCATCTCGTGTACGTTTATCGCTTACATAATAAAATACTGAATTCCACCATTAAGACACTGCATTAGCTGCGCGATATAATCACTTGATAACGAGGAGCAAAATTGCAAAAATAATCGCTGCTCACAGAGGATAATATACTTAATGATACATTTTTATCACATAATCACTAGAGAAATGTATATGTGCATCTTTATCACATGACCACCAGAGAAATGTATATGTCAACATGCATGAATCATCAAATATAATTTTTAGATAAAAATAAAGCATCGATTCGTATTAAATATTTGAGACTCTCGTCAATTATTATCGACATTTAGAAAATATGAAAGAGACGACACCAGTCTTATATACAGTTACATTACTTATCAATATATAAAGTAGTATTTTAATTATTTATGTGATAAAGTACACATATGATGTATCTGTAATAGATTTTTTTATCACAATATTATCAGTCCAATATAAATAATTTATCCAATATAATAATTTTATCACAATATTATCAGTCCAATATAAATAATTTATCCAATATAATAATTTTATCACAATATTATCAGTCTAATATAAATAATTATTTCGATATATTTTATATATCGAAAAATATTTTCTAACCGTATATTATTGAAATTCTGTTTTAGAAGGAATTCAGGGAATTTCGAATACTGGAAAAACCAGTTCACCACAACACTGACATATGCGCACGAGCTTCTATTGCGATGATCTACGAGCACTCTCACCTGTCGCGCCGTCTGTTTGCAGATCCTGATCCCTAACCGGAGCATGGGACGTCCGCGGTATCGACGACAGGAAAAACACGTTCTCGAAACGGTAAGCTGCACACGCGGGACTAACCGCATCCGAGGCGAAGTCGTCAAACGCGTTCGCGGACACGTTCACGAGTGAAAAGCCTTGGGTTGTCGCTCGGCCCGTCGCGACTCAGTGACTGAACCGAGAGATCCATTCGAGTTTCTCTCCGTCCTCTTTTCTCCTACCACGCGTTCTTCATTCAACTAGTAATCGCGAGACTCGTCCCTCTTTCTCGCTCCTTCCTACTGTCAATCGTTGTTTTGCCGTCAAGGTTTACGCGCACTAAGCCCACAAAGTCGCTCTCTTTCGCGGTGTTTCGCAGTTAC